TGAAATTAAAAATTGAAAATTGAAATTGGCACTCACCCTTATAGTACCAAATGAAGAGATACACTGATCAAAATTATTACTCCAATCCACTCTTGGGATCTTAATCTGGTAAGCACAACCGCCAGAGTACCGCAAAATCTCACCTTATTACGTTATGGAAAGCTTGAGAAGTAGGCCCACGCGAGACTACTTCAAAAGCTCTCCATAACAGCTTGGCCATGACTTAGATAGGCGTAACGCTCATCATTTGACTTGCGTAATTTTGGCCAATACTATTCCAAGCGTACAGTTGCACGTTTTTGGTGTTGCACATGTTTATTATACTTATGTTGATCTTTTGCATTCCTTTACATATTTTTCATTTTCAAATAAAGACTTTTGAATCCCTCCTATAATCTTTCGAAATCCTATAGTCTTCAACGACATGTTTATGTTAAATATCCAAAGTTCAAAGTTATGATATAAATCTTATCAATTACATTAACACTCTTACTTTCAAATGTGATTATGAAAAAACTCAATATGTCAAAATAAAACATTCAAGTTATACCTTAAGTTCAACCTGAGTTCCTTTTGCATTTAAGAATGCATGTATACACCTTAGACGTTCACATCAACTACTATAAAACTTCAAAGCACAAAATCTACCATATATGGTGCAATTTGTAATCATTGAATTTAAACAAAATTTAATGCAAATGTGCAATAATAAAATTCAAATATTCTTTATCATGTTAATATTGAAAAATGTATGTTGATAATTATATAAGATTTGCAATTGTGAAATTAATGAAATATTAATCAAATTATGTAAATTTTTTATGATATCAAGTACAAAATTTCATTTAATTTCATGAAAACACACATAATTTTTTTATAAAAAAATTAGGTACTAATTATTGAATAAAAATCAAAATACTTATTTATAGTCATTTATAATATTATTAAATTAAACTATTTTTCAATTTTAGATAAATTTTCCAGGAATTATGTTTTGAAATGTTTGTGATTGATTTTTCTAGAAGAAATATTTAAAATTTTCCAATATTTTATGATTGAAAATCTTTTAATGATAAATAATGACATGATTTATGATATAATGTGATTTATGAAGCCAATTTTTGTTGTATCAAGTGCTTCATAAAAATTCATACTTCAAATGATTACTTCTAAACATCATTTATAATATTGCTACATATGGCAGCAGATTATTTATCATGCAATAAAATTTTACCATCATTCTTATTATGTAATTTGTTACATAAATTTCAATGTCACACGAAATGCATGTGATAATTTTCATGACTGAACTATAATTAGATACTTACTATAACTAGATACTTATGCAATATGTATGACTATATTTTATAACAATCAAAAATTTTCAACATCTCAAATGTACATAAGAAATTGCTAAAATCAAAATCTACAATATTTAAAAACATTTTACAAATGAATGAATGCACAACAAAGATTTATCTAGTAAATAAAAAATTAAATTAGTTACAATAATGATTTCTTATAAATTGAATTGTTGAATATGCATAATTAATTTCTTGAAACGAGTTTTAACAATTCTTCATTTTTGCAATGGTGTAAAAAGTACTCACACCTTTCTTGCATAGTATTTGTGTCTATGTACATGTTAGAATTTGTAAAGTAAAGAATTCATGCTCGAGTGAATGATATATATGTAATATAATGAATAATTATTATTTTTTATAACTGCAATACTCACGATGTAGATTTAGTATGAGCATATTTTTTTCTATTTAAAATACAATAGCATGCTATAAACACTTTTGATAACCTTCAGAGTACATTTTCTGAAGATTATCAAAAGCGTTAGTTTAAATCATTGTAACTCAAACATTTAGAATTATTATGATTTCTTTAAACATTTAAATTCAGATATCAAATTATTTTGTAAAAAATATTTTATACTTTAATTATAGGCACAATTACAACATTGATTATAATGTGAATCTATTGAAATTGAAATTTTGACGTATATACTATAGGTTATTTAAATTTCAGTTTACTAATATACAAACACTATTTATATTTTATATTGATATGACGCATGCTTGTAAGAATGCAACTTTATAAAACTTGAAGGAGATATCGTCATGCTTCGCAACTTAGAGTGGTTTCGGGTGTGCAAAGTGTAAAAGGTGATATCACAAAGTAAATTTCGGAATAGTCAAGAATGACGTAGCAAAAAGCAAGAGAGTATACATAGCGAATAAAGTGTTTGAAATATCATGAAAATTTTTTCATAATATATTCTAAAGTATAACATGTATCTTCAAATCTGTCTGTATATATCATGTACTGCTAAATACATATGATATTTGAAAAGAATATTTTTTTCCAGTAATGTATAACGGCGATTCTTAAGTGGCAAAGTTAATATCGCAACTTCTCAGTGAGTAACTGGCACTTGTGCCAGCATGAAAGCTTGAACCAGCTGGCGGTCGCAGAATACGACCAAGTACAGACTCGTGGAGAATTCTGTGAGTAAGCGATTTCATCTAGATTTAGTTAGTAGAGCCTTCGCCTCCCATGGATGGATCTCCCTTGGCCTTGTACTGTACCTCGGTGGGGCTTGCGTCCAAACTTCTATATTCGGCCCTCAATTCACGACGCGGTTAACTGCGCTGCATAGTTCGAAATGATTCACTTTGACGTGTTGCAGTGCATGTGAAAAGACCAACCATGTACATACTTGGTGCAAAACCAGGTTAGTACAACTGTGTGTAAGTACTCGTTTTTTAGTACATTCTTCTGTACAAGAGTACTCCGACTCAAATTCCTGGCAAACGTTGCACATACTGCAGGATAGTCTGGAACTTTCAGTGCTCTGTTTGACAGTGCTGCAAGTTTCTAACTTCGAGCTGATTAGTGTCATGGATTTCGGCTTCGACGGTAGTTCAAGCACAAGTGTAACTATTTCATGCCACTTGCACGCTTTTCACCAGTTTTCGAATCATGTCGATCATCGATGATAGCACTGTGATTCCATCTATCGTGTAAATCAGTTGGATGACTCTAGGGAAAGTGACGAGTTCCACTTCCCGACTCGGTCAAACTTACCGTCCGTACGAAGGTCTCAGTTCAAATTATGCAGATTGATAGCGCTACTGAGTGCTCACTCGAGATGACGGCTTTGTTTGGCTCGTACACCACTTGATTCGAATAGGACCTACGGAGAGAAACAATGCGTCAAGCATATTGGCTGTTGCTTCTCGCTCACCCTGTGTTACATATAATGTTTCGTACCTATACTTTAGGCTGGATGTCATGGCTGAAGGTCGTTGACGATCACCCACTCATCAAGATAAGTTACACCGTCGAAATTGCCCTTTTCTTTCTCATGGGTTAGTCAGAGTCACAAATTCAGGACTGGAGACAATGATTATGGAGAAACATGATACTGCAGATACTCATGAGTTCGAGGAGCCTTGAGTCTACGACTTTTATACTTACATTGAAACAAACTTAGCCGCTGTGTGTCTCTTCTTTGCTGCTCATCGTGGCGTGGAGTCAAGGAGTCGGAAATGTCTTCCAAAATGTACGTACAGCACATCCATGGAAGGTTCATGCTTCCATCGCCCCTACGCCTCGGATCAATTTCGAGAGTTTGAACGCCTCTGCACTCGAGTATACTGCTGTAGTGCCGGGTACCCAGCACTTACACTCGTCAGCGACCTTCAAATGTGTTCCTTTCTGTAAAGGATTGCGGCATTATATGTCCTGTCAGGTCTGCGGTTTGAAAGTGGCTTTGCAAGGCTCAATAAACTGCACGAACTATATCCATACCATCGGTTTTGCTATCCACTGGGCCCCGCCTTCCCCTCCCCTCCCCGCCCATTATCCAGAATCCTTCTAAACATTGTGTCAAAACAGATGGGTCAGAGTTCCTCGTCGTGAAGACCAAATTCGTTTTGATGTCAACTGAAGGCTGAAGGTGCTCGGCGATACAGCCGCTGCAGGAATCGAAGTCCAAGGAGTTCGTTTTCACTGCAGAACCGCGGAAGTTGTTTTGCAGATTAGATAATGTTTCCTTACATCATGGACGAGATCTTGATACAAATAACACGCACTCATACTGGCTACGGTCCAGAATCCACTGCCGGATATTCGCCTACAGTGCCAAGTTGATGGGCTTCTTCAGAGGTCTCGTCTCAACCATTCACGATTCGTCATTTTGATGCACCTCCGAGATGCCGGTTAGGAATCTTGCCGGTCCGATGCGGCGGAGTCAATCTTCGAGTTCAGTAAATAAACCGAGTTGATCAAGTAGGCATCAAATGGCAGCTGTAAGTCCCGTCGTCCAGGCAGACCATACTCCCATGGAGAGAACAGGCCCTTTCTTGATGGCCCTTCTTGGGACGATGTGAAGGCTCAGCATGAGCTCTGGAATCTTCTAGACCAATGGGTTGGGGTGAAATCAAAGATTTAAAACTGAGTTCAAACTTGTCGAACGGTATTCTAATGTTTAAGAGCGGAGGGAAATGACAAGGGAACGACTCAGACTTCCAGAGACATGTACACGAGCCAAGGACCGCAGGGACAGCAGGGACTAGGGGCCACAAAGTACAGTGTGAGCACATGGACAACTATATCTTTCGAAAGTCAAATCGCGGGTCTGCTGGGTGCTTGATGAGCGAACCATCGAATGGACCGCGCGCGGCTACGTGGTCCCCGTCGACCAACGCTTGGCCAGCAAACTCGTATCCAGTACCATGTAGAATGGTGGACTCAAACCTTGCTTGGCTTGCAAGGACTACCCAGTTGGTCGCACGAAAGAGAACTGCGGTCCGCCGGGACAGTTCCTCTACGCGTGATGTCGCCCAGTGGTACTACCGGAGATCTGCAGTGCACGCATCTGTACCACGTTACAGTAGCACGGTCATGAAGACCGGGAATTGACCGGAGGTAGCATTGGGGAGGCGGCAGCGGAACAGGCTTGACCGGGGCCGGAGTACCTACTCACATGCGCGTAGTAGATGCAAAAAGCCTGCCCCGCCGGCTGTACATTCACGTCGCCGCTAGTCGACAGCCGTTTCGTCCGAAGTCCGAGTTCGGGCTCTGTGATTGAGTGGGTCATTCTCAAGCATCGTCTCGACGGTTGGGCTGGCGTATATTTCTGGAAAGTAGCGTATGTACATACGATACTGTAGGAGAGGGGCAGGCTGCGGAGCTTGTGACTGGAATGTGCGCGTTTGAATGCGGTGGAGCTGTGACATCGTGAGGAGTGTGCCAGGTCTGACGATTCGGTCGTCTTTCGGGGAAGGGAATTTGCCGGGTTCAGGCACTGAGCCGTCAATTGAGGATTTCGGAGCTCGTGAGGTTCGACATGGTGGTATAAATGCGTTCTGCTTTTGTGGTCATGGGGTGCCCAAATCGGATCCATCTCTTACCCGAGCTGGTCTGCTTCATCACGGGCTCGCTATGGGTGTATATCGAAGGTGAGAACGCAAGCAGTGCTAGGATCAATTTGTGGTTGCGAATGGGTTGTTTGGTTCAGATCTTGCGTGCACCAGTTGGGTTGGATTGAGGATAAAGGCCCGGTTTTAGCTTTCAGGCAGACTCGAGTTTCGGAGGCTTGTTCCAATCATGTGCATGGTCGGAAGCCCGCTCCTTGTTCCTGAACAATTCTCATCCCTACTTGCTCAATGGAGTCAGGTCGAGATTTCAGCTGAAGGGCTTCCCACTTCTCTTGCAGTATATAACTGCGACTTGTCTGGCATGCTTTCTTGCCGTTTTGAGAGCTGGTAGTAGATCTTCGATGACGGAGATACAGAGGAAGTAAAGTGTCATCTTAGGAACTGTGCTTCAGTGAATAGATTGGAGAAACATAGGGAGACATTAGTAGACACTTTCGATCGTGGGCAGGCTTCCTAGTTTGAGTGTACCGGGGTTTGACATGAAATTTTCTCCGAAGCCGAGGCACTGGAAATTGAGCTCTTGTGTTGTTCTTTCAACTGCAGGCTGAAATCCGCTTAAAAATTCAAAGAAGGTTTTTGAATTTGAAAATCAGTTTTTGGTTGTCCCGAAGAAGCGACTACACATTTCGTTCAAGAGTGCGAGATAGTGGGTGTTGGCAATTCGTCGAAACTATCATGATGACTGAACCACTCAGAAGCAAGATGGAGAAAGATGAAAATGTGGAGCTTATGGAGGAAATGCTCATTCCGGAGTACATACTAAATCGAGAGAAGGCCCCGTCGAATGCAAACCAGATTACGTGCCCAGAGTAAATCTCCTCACTTGATACGCGAGGAAACTTGAAGAGAGAGGTCTACTAAGGAATAAATAATTGCATGTCTGGACTGAGAGAAATAAAGGATATGGACGAGGAAGATAATCGGTAACCTTTTTGTTAGTGAAATTTTAGTCTTCCCAAACAGTCTGTTTAGTTCTTGCATTTGAATGATGATTTAGAAATTGTCTGACCATCCTAGCTGCTAGATGTGAACCGTTGCTAGGTGGAAACTGTAGGACTTTTAACCTTCATTGAATATGAGATTTAGTCTTTTTTCCCCGCTGAGGTTTTACTGCGAATGTCTCATGGCAAGAGTCTTTAGGCTGCGTCGCAGAAAAGATTTCTGAGTGAATTGCATTTCCCGGAAAGTCAATACTGCGATATAGTTTCCGTCAAGTGTATGCTTATCTTCGTACTTAAGTGAACTTGCTAAAAGACCTAAACGAATTGTTCCTGTAACGCTTCCACGCATTTACCTATAAATTAGATTTTACTTGTTTTCTCTGCAAATTCTTAAAAGCCTGACCAACAGGGAAGAATCATTGTCTGAGGCTGCTATCAAAAAAGCTCACAATTCTTTTGGTTTGTATAGGTCACCTGTTCTAGTTTTCATAAATACCAAGAGTGGAGGTCAGTTGGGTTCGCAGATACTCCCACACTTTCGAGCCCTTTTGAACCCAAAGCAGGTATGATTTGTGTCGTTTAAGGAGTTTCTTCCAAACTTTCTTATGAAGTACATATTTCTAGTATTGACGCAGTGATATAATTTACGGAGAAATTGAACAGCTAATCGTTGTATTCCGCTTGTAATTTTTTGTTTAAAATACTGTCTGCACCGTCAAAGAACTAATGTCTGAAGTTGTGCCTTTATTATTTCTGTCTAGGTTTTCGAGCTTCCCGCGGACAATCCTGAAGAAATTCTGCGAGACTTTTTGAGTCATCTTGAGAAATTGAAGAGGCATGGTGACCCAGTTGCTACTGCGATTAGAGCGAAACTGCGTATTGTGGTAAGAGAACTGTCAAGATCTTCGCGAGTTAAACTTACATTTAAAGCTTGATACACAATATGTAAGTGGTATGTATAGTAAATCAAGGCCCAATCTGGACTGTGCCCAGAAGTAGATTGTACCTTTGGTGATTCACATATGTAGCATGTTACAGCTTATAGCTCAAAAAGTTTGTTATATGGTCATGTCCTCATGGGAGGTTCGGTTATCAAATCTAGCCTTTCTGAAGGCACTTGATTACAAGTTCTAACTGTTTGAGCTTCCAGGTGGCTGGAGGAGATGGAACCCACGGCTGGTTGCTTGGAGCTGTCGCTGACTTGAAATTAAAGGACCTCCCTCCTGTTTCCACTGTACCCCTGGGCACGGGGAATAATCTTCCCTTCTCGTTCGGATGGGTAAGTTGTTGAGAGCATAGCAAAAGTTATCTGAAAGTTTCCTTTTTTCAAGTCTCCTCTCTATGGGTCGTATAATCTGTATTCAGTCTGGCGGATATTGGGCTTAGTGTATCTTTCCAATGGAATGGATATGGTTGAACCATCATTATACAACTGAAACTCGTAAGAGTATAAATACTTCTGAGGAGGACAAGGGAGTGACGGGTTCACTGCGAGTCGTGTGACGCAAATATGCTCCGCAAATCATGGAGAAATGTTGGCAGGTCGGCATTTTTAATGAGGAAGTCGTCTCATGTCTTCCAACAGGGAAAGAAAAATCCCACACCAACGGTGGAGTCTTGTCGTGATATTTTGTTGAAGACTGCCGATGCATCACCAATGCCTGTGGACAGGTAGAGGTTCAGCTTTTACGTTACTAGGCGCTTGTGCAGCACATAGAAGCTTCGATCTAGCTTCGCTTACCACGCATTTGAGTTTTTCTTTCACTTGCTGTAACTTAGTATGAGATTAAAGACGTTTTACATCTTTTAGTCGTTTTGTCTTCTTGTTGTTGCAATTCTTCTCTTGATCTCTGACCGGGCTGGATTCTGTTAGGAGTCAAACATGTATTCGTCCTAGCTACATATCGGAGATCTGAAACTAATGTGGAAGAGAAGTCCATCGCTGCAGATGGCACGTGGTCATACGCATGTCTAAACCCTTGGAAGACAGCCCCTTGTCGGAGATGAAGTCATCAAAATTGTTGGCGTCGAATACCTTGAAAACTCACGAATCGTTTTCCCGTGTCCCAGAAAACACTGAGAGCTATCAGGTAAGACATGCTAGAAGCTTTAGAATACAATCAAAGAGCTCGCAAAATTTAAAATATCGCGAGGTTATGTGCTTTTTCTTCATACAGCAATTGACCTTGTCTTAGTAATTCTAATGTATGTTGATGTAGGAGGGTCAACATTCTTATCAAGGAGGTTTCTGGAACTATATGAGTATAGGTAAGGTTTCATGACCGTGTTTTCAGACGTTCATCTTATTGTATGTTGGAACACTCTGCCTTGTTTTTCACTTTTAAAACTTCACTGTCAGCGCTGAAGTCTGTATCTGACTTATCTCGTATGCATATTATGTACTGCCCCTTAAGACCACACACATGTCTTCATTTGGTGCAGGGATGGACTCACAAGTATCTTACGCATTCCACACAATGCGAAACAAACATCCAAAATATTTCAAAAATCAAATTATGAATCAGGTTTGTCATTACCAGAAATTCTTACAATCGTAGTAGCCAGAACCTTTCGAAGGCAAAGGTCTTGGTTTTGTACTGACGATTTGAAAGTCTGTGCGTGTTACTTCACTGGTTCAAAATTGCGAATGGCCTCGATGTAGTGTTTGCTCAATACCTTCTCTAATTGTTCATGGTGTTCATGTTGATTGCAGGGTCTGTATGCCTTTTTTTCCTGCTGGCAAGGCTGGTTTTGTGCTCCCTGCTGTCATCCCCGATCCAAGTGAGGACTCAACTCTCATCTGGAGACTCAATCTTAGTTATAGACCTTGTGTAAATATCTCTGATCTTGCAATTCCAGGCTCTCTAATTGTAGATCATTCTGAGGATGTTCTTTGTTTTGTGATGATTTGGTAGTTGCACTGAAAGAAAATTTCAAGGGATCATTCTAAAGTGCTCGAATAAAATAATGTAGGAATATAAACACGCTGGCAAACATTTTTACAGCCAGATACGATGGTCAGTGGGACAAACTCCATATATCAAGGAGGTCTGTTCATGTTTCCTACTCAAAACTCTAAATTCTTTTCCTCTTTGAACTTTTCTTTTAAATAAGGCGTTATGTTGAACTTAATTGTCGTAGACACCGACATAACTTAAGATATTACTTTCCAAACTATTTCGTTGTGAGGTGTTTTACATCTTACACATGAATCTTTGTATATGGTTCAATCTCCTTACTGGCGCATTTGTTGAACTGCAGAATAAGATCCATTGTGATATTAAATCTTCCAAGCTTTTCCGGAGGTTTTAATCCGTGGGGTACTCCCAGTGGCGATAAAGCTAAGGAGGTGCGTAAAGAGTTTATCTTAGTCACGTTTCAAGAATAGCTTTGAATTTTAAGAATAGCTTCACTCTTTATAAACAAGGCGATGAGTTGACCTTCCGTATGTATGATTTTTATGTTAGTAATTCAACCTGTCTATAGCTGGAGCTTGTGTGTTATCTCGACTAGTATCCATTTGTTTGTTTGACGTGAGTCTTCTGATTGATGTAGTCATCTGTTCTTTCCTCCCTTGCTTAATATGATGAACGAATGTGAAAGTGATCACACTGCCGTGCTGTTTGCAGAGACATTTAACTGCCCCTTTTGTAAATGACGGGCTCATAGAGATAGTTGGCTTCACAGATGGATGGCATGGCGCATCCATGATTTTTCCTCGGGCTCACGGTACCAGAATAGCTCAGGTTCGTAAAACGTTACGTTCTTACTTTCACTTATTCGAAGCTAAAAGCTTTACGTCATCTCTTTGTATTTACTCCTACGTCTACATTTCTTCTCCGAATCGTGGATAGACAGGTGTGAAGTTTTTGGTCTTTGTTGAGTCTTTCTTGAATTAGTTCGGACGATTGCGTTCAATCTTCATGACTACAACTACCGAGCGAAACTTTCCAACAGTGCAGAGTAAAAAGCTAGCACTTTTGGAAGCTGAAAGTTCAAGATGTATGTTCGTTTCTTGAAAGATATGAATGGAGATCCCAGATCGAAAATTTTATGCTTTTATTGCTTTAGCTTACTCTTATTGCGGGCTATGCAGGCCCATAAAGTCAAAATTGAGTTTCACAAAGGTGGGGAAGACCACACTTATATGCGAGTGGACGGAGAGCCTTGGCAACAAGAGCTACCACTTGACACGGATCCCACAGTCATGGAGATCACTCACAAAGGTCAAGCTGTAATCTTAGCCTCCGGGGACTGTGTTGCAAAAATCATTCCAGCGGACGAGTCAGCAAAGATGAATTTGCCAATTTCGCAAGCAACGGTCGCCGATGAGCAGAAACAACAGGGTTCAGCTTCAAGAAAATCTCGGCACTCGAAGAAAGTGTAGAATGATGTTAAGACATCCTCGAGAGCAGATTTCTTGAGTCAAAACTGAGGTCTTGATAAAGTTGTAACTCGATTTGGACAGAAAAAATAGCAAATGCTAATGTCTTTTCAACCCTTGCACATGTTCTCCACATCTGGAACACTAGGTCAACGAAAATCAATTCTGTTCGGTCTATAGATACGTAGAGCACAGTGGTCTAGGACGATATTTTGTTGGAAACTTATGATTTTCTCGTGTAGAGTATGAGTGAAGGGCTGTAGAGCTTCGTCATTGCCTCTCACCATTGTTTTTGTCATGTAGATAGGATCTGGGATCAGTGAAACACACCTCGCTGTAAATATTATGGTCAAAATCAACCGTAAATCTTCTTCACTTTTAGTACTAATAAGAGGCCTTCTTTTGGGTTTCTATGAGAGCCTGACATCAGTGATCTGTAAGCTTTTTGTGTCTTGCGCGGCGACGAGAGGCTGTAGGATCTGTATTTCCTTGTTATGACCTATTCCGGTCTATAAAGATGACATTTCGCGGCATAGCTGTATCAATGTATCTTTTGTTGTGGTGTGACCCTGAGCAAGTCGCCTTGATTCTAGTTGACGGGATCTTTGAGTGTGAGCTTTACAGAGCAGAGCAAGGTTGCCAGGGTTGAGGGCAGAAAATGAAGTGGTGTGTTCTGCCGTACTTTGAGGATATATTGAGGAACATTCGAACTAATATTTTCACACGCGATGGGTATCTTTGAGCATTTATTGAAGACATCAATCTCGAAGTTTAGTTTGAAGGATAATCAGTAATTAGTTTAACTCAATACTTAATCGGATACCTCCACTCATGTTTTTGGTAAGATTCTGTCAAAACAATATCGTATTTGCCCGCTCACTTCGTGATTGAGTTCTTAGAGCAGACTGTCGACTGGGTTGGTGTGGCGTCTGGGCAGTTTGTGTGTGAGCACCTCTTTACACCTAGGCAATTATTTCAAACTATTCAAGTCACTCTGCCGAACCGGCTAGTAAATATTCAGAGAAGTCGGTGTAAATACCTCGCATTTCCACCAATGTCACACTGGTGAAGAAAATGAACATAGTAAAAGTACAGGGCTGAAACCAAGACGTCTGTGTTCGTGGGATGAGACAGTTTTCTCCTTGCCACAACCAAACTTAGTCGTAGCTACATTCCAAGTGATCGTTCGTACAACTACAGGTGGATCCAAAACCTTGCGGTATACAACCACCTTCACATATGCTGCTCGATCTGCTGACGCTAAGTTTTTTTAACTAGTAGTATTCCAATCACCCAACCTCAAAACCACAAAAAAATGATCGAAACCTTTACAATTCCATCCTGGTGAAGTTCGATCTGCACGGCGGTTTCGATATATTTCAGAAAGTCTAACCATTCTTACTGTGCTTTAGATATGTCCACCGTCTTGAAACTATGATGATCCAAACAATATTATTGACGTACTTGCCCAGATAACATGTATAATTCTGTTGTTCAAAAGTAGCAGCGTATATCATGAGAAGACACGAGGGAACATATAAATGGCATAGATAGGCATACATGATCAACTGGATCATTTGCAGCAAAGTCATTTAGTCGAATGAGGAGGATCTAAAGAAAATGGGTATTGACCCGTACTAGAGACCAATGAGTGAGGCTCCGAGCCCCGTAAGCAACCTGCAGAAGATGTGTCGTGAACAAAACCATGTAGGCATATTTGAGTAGGGGAAAAACATGTATACATATATACACGCCACATTCTTCAACATTGCAGAGATGTTACTGATCGAGATAACTTAAGTCTTCTGCAATGCAAATGCGGATTCCTTCCGGAAAATTGGGCAACGCTCGTAACATACGAAGCTCAATAAACCAGCTCATAGTCCAGAACATTGACTCTTCAGTACAGGTCTCACCATTCTTACAAGTGTATTTTAACGATAAGAGTCGACAACGGTAGATCAAAGAATTCGGCCGCAAAGCGAATTCCAGTTCAGGCCTTTGAAAATCATTCACACAGTGCCTTCAAAACTTGTGACTCACAACGAGAAAAATACAGGTATTGACACGATATATACAAATATATCGCACTTCTTGAAAATCGTATCATACAATTAATGACGTCTTGTGAGGCTGAGTAGCGAAATCGAAACATACTGCACCTCAGGACCTCATCGGTAATTCTCCTTCCGGCAGTCTCCACGTGTGACAGCTGAAACCTTTGGTTCTGGATAGTGTGTTCATCACCTGTGAATGTTGAGCATGTCTTTCGCTTCTTGCTCCTCCTCCATGAGGGTATCACTCGTGTACTTGTCCAGCAATTCCTGCTTCTTCTTCTGAAGGACCATTTTCTCGATTTCTTTCTCATCGGGCAATGGGACATGGGCAACAAATTCCCGTTGGGCGGGCCGTTCCTTCTCTACCTGGACATCATCGTCGTCTATAATATCCTCCTCGTCCTCTTCAAAAAGAGGTTTCGACGTTACGACCTCACCACTTTTTACTCCCTTCCGAGCCTCATTTTTTACGGCTTCTACCCTCTGCCAATCCTCGATGGCCCTCGCCCTGATCTCCTTCTCTGCGTCCTTCTCTAGTTTTTCTAGCAAGCCGTCCTCGTCATCTCTGTATCCATAATAATCGGCATCAATTCGTTTGTACATCTCATATCGGGACCTCCTCTTTCTCAACTCAGGAGGCTTGTCAAATAGCTCCTTCACTCCCGGCAGCTGCTTGGCAGCTCCAAAATATCGATAGCCTAACCCTTTACCGCTGGCTGCATCGACCTCCTTCCCCTCCTCATCTGTAGCTTTCGGACCAGTTTTCGAGTAATTCGGTCCTCCAAGCTCCAGAATCCTCGCCTCCCAATGCCCTTTCTCTCTGATGAGCTTGTTGATCTCATCGTTCAAATCTCTTAAGCGGTGCTCTCCGAGCCCAGGATTTTGAACATCCATAACCTTCCGACCAATCTCCCGCACAATCTGTTGTCTCCATCTGTCTGCCTCTGCCAAGTCCCTACACTCCGAGGCCAGAAAAGGGCGACGCTCTTTGGGTTTCTTCTTCTCCTCGTTCTTGGATTGCAGAAACCTGTTGAGCATAGACTGCGCTTTCTCCTCATTTCGAGCCATCTTGGCGCTTGTCCCGAAGTTGGCAGCAGTTCCGGGTTACCCTCTTCAACGCCCACCGCAGTTATGGTGTCGAGGAACAACTTTTCTCTTGGAAAAGCTAGGATTTCCAAGACGCTGAGTCTAGCATCTCCCACCACATTAAAATCTTTGTGGCAACTTCTCAAAAAACTATCGACTTCCCATAGCCTCCGCCCTTGACCGTGTCCTACACCTCCACCAAACCTTCCATTTCACAAAGTTCAAAAAAGACAGCATTTCCTCACCCGTCATCCGACACTCCTCTCCACCTGTCACCAGAGCTCAGCTAATCTCGAATCGAGTCAAATTTCCCTGTCGACAATCCCTGCTACCACAGCAATGCCCACGAACGGAGATCCCGCAGCATCTGCAATCGTATCCACCAAGAAAGAAGCACGCACCACTTTCAAGATTACGACGCAATGGGACGTGAAAATCGAACTCGACTCGAAAGACTTGCCAGCGGAGTCGGTGTCGGGGCCGAAGAAACGGGCCCGCGCGTACACTACACGTTGTGACCTAAAACCCCAGAACAAACCCCGAGTCCCGTTCGAGTGAATCTCCTCTCGAGCTGTTAATTGTGCGGCGCCTCTGCCAAGGTTACGGGTTACTGTCAGAGATTGGAGCTAGAAAGAGATCCAAGGTTCGGAAGCTGACGGGGCGACCGACGCGTGGCCGTCGTCGGCGCTGGAAGTTGTAGCAGATTTCTCGATGGGAATCGAGTTCCGGGACGAGCTCGTTTGAGGAGTTTACAGCACGCGACGAGGAGGAGCGTGATTCCCCCTCGAACTCTGGACGAGTCACTCTGGCAGCTGCGGCGGTGTCTGTCTGTCTACGGAAGTGGAAGTCGCACAGCATTGCGACCACGTCTGCCTCTGTGACTCGTATAGTCGAGGCCGCTTGGATCCCATTGTCAAGACTCGCGACGGCCCCGCCGCGCTCTCTCTTGTCCATCTCGCGACGTCGCGTCTGATTACCTCGACAGAAGACGTGAACTGTGACGGAGAACTATGACTAGGTGTACAGTTTGTGGGCCCCGCAGAAATAGTGCGAACCACAGTCCACTTTCAGTCCCCGTCCGTAGTCTATGGACACGGTACCACAACACAGTAACGCAACCGTTTTTCTTTCCCCTCGTGGAGGATGTTCAAACCCTAAAACCCTGGGTGATAAAACCCTAAGCTCTTATGACAGACAATGAAGGTGTAGAAACTCGAAGTCCTGTGGAGAAGTCAGTCCTTTTCTCGAGTTCACATCAGCTCTCGGAGTAGACCGAAATCTTTACGTGTGGACGAGCGCTCTAAACTGTCACCATGAGTAAGTAAAGATCGAGTTACGAGCACACCAACTGACTGGTATCTGGAAGGAAGGGCTCGAAGTTTTATCCTGTGTTGTGCTGTGGATTTCTTAGGAAATATTTGCCGATCTCCATTCTGAGAAACGCTCCTTTCGACGTCAGGGTCCTGTTGCCCTCATCGTTGTTACTTACATTTTCCTTCCGCTGTATTGCTGCAGGTGGGTTCAGAGGTGGAGGCCGCGGAGGCGGCCGTGGAGGACGAGGCGGAGATGGAGGAGGTAGGGGCGGAAGAGGTGGAGGCCGAAGCTTTGGTGGTGGAAGAGGTGGAGGTCGTGGACCTCCTGGAGGAAGGGGAGGTGGTAGAGGAGGCGGTCGAGGGGGTGGCCGCGGTGGAAGAGGAGGAGGAATGAAGGGAGGAGCGAAGGTAGTAATTGAACCTCATAGACACGAAGGTGTTTTCGTTGCCAAGGCGAAGGAAGACGCTTTGGTCACCAAGAACATGGTACCCGGAGAGAGCGTGTACGGAGAGAAGAGGATTAGTGTCGAGGTTGAGGGAGGAGAGCCTGGAGCGAAGGTGGAGTACAGAGTGTGGAACCCCTTCAGGTCGAAGCTTGCGGCTGCAATCCTGGGAGGAGTAGACAACATTTGGATTGTAAGATTTTCGTTGCAAGTTTCCTACTCTTTTCTTCCTTGAAATCTGACACGAGGCGAAATGTTTTCGTACCAGTGATCGTGGTGCTGGTTTGTCAGCTGATAGAGTGCATTGTCGCTATTGAATTCCCTCGTAACCTAGTTTGCACTTTGAGTGTTTTTTAACTTTCTATGTTACTATCGTTTGCAGAAACCAGGTTCCCATGTCCTGTATCTGGGAGCTGCGTCTGGTACTACCGTCTCTCATGTGTCCGACCTCGTCGGTCCTACTGGTATTGTTTATGCTGTGGAATTTTCTCACCGAAGTGGACGTGACTTGGTTAACATGGCCAAGAAGCGGACAAATGTTATTCCCATTATCGAGGATGCCAGACATCCCAACAGATATCGTATGTTGATGGGAATGGTCGACGTAATTTTCGCAGATGTTGCCCAACCTGATCAGGTGCTGTTTGAGTCCATGCTAAAAGTTTTTCTTTTCTTCCTTTTCACTCAGCCACTGCGGCTTTCCAACTACAAGCGTATGAAGAATTTATGGATTCCCCTTCACTTAATTATAAGTGATAAATCCGACTCTGACGCTTTTGCCCTCACGGGCCTGTAGATAGTTCGACTATGTGATATTCGTGCGCTAGCCTTACGATTCTGTAGGTACCACTTGCTGCCTTAGGACTTCGGACTCTCCCTCCGATATGATTTATACACTGATTTACTCTGACACCGTCGTACCGTCTTCCGACTGTCATATGTTCGTACGGTATACGGCTTAAACCTGACAACAAGATACATTGGATACTTGTTGTCCACTGCTGCTGCTATTTCCCGCAGGCACGTATTGTAGCTTTGAATGCCCACAACTTCTTGAAGAACGGTGGTCACTTTGTCATCTCAATCAAGGTATGCTTTCGGCCTTCCTCCACCTGAGAACTTGCGCATCTGAACGCACGTATTACAGTGAACTCTAAATCTGTAAAGTTAGCTGACTTGAGTTCTGTCTGCAGGCCAACTGTATCGATTCTACCGTCCCTGCGGAAGCCGTTTTTGCGGCGGAGGTGAAGAAACTGCAAAAGGAACAATTTAAACCATCTGAGCAGGTGACACTGGAGCCCTTCGAGCGTGACCACGCCTGTGTTGTCGGTGCGTACCGAGTTGCGAAGAAGCAAAAGACTGCTGCGTGAGGACTAGATTAGTGTAGGCATGTAATGTAAGACTGGAGAGTTGTAAGCTCTTTATGGGCAAGAGTTTTGTCTGAGGAGAAGTCACCCTGAATCCGAAACTGTTCTGATTGTGATTACAATCTGGAATATACATTGCGCAAGCATCCTTTCGAGATATGAAGCCATCTATGTACATAATTTTGAGATACTTGTAAGGAAATTACCAGTGCCAACTACGTTTCAAAAGAGAAAGTTTATGAGCATCAAAAGTAATTGCTTGCGTTGTTTATTCCGTGAATTTGAACTATCATACCGTTCCAAAACAACTTATTATCCAACTTGTTTAAAGTATGAGATGATCGTGAAAAACCTATCTCACACGACGATGGTACAGACTGAATATAAACAACAAATACGGAGGAAAGTGAAAGATTGTACTCACTAGGCGAGAAAGGAAAAATGCGAGTAAAAACTTATCGAAAAGAGACGAGAAATGCAATGCCCAAATTACAATTATATATTAAAACAATTGAAGAATATAGAAAAACTGCATCATTATGATAAAAAACCAAAAGTACAATGCTAAATTATATTGTCACACATCTAACTTCGAAACGGGAAAGAAGTGAAGGAAGATAAGTGCCAAGTTAACAGCTTGTCTCAGATTAGCGTTTAACATCTGTACAACATTCAATAATGGCTACAGTTACTAACTAGTAAAGCACAGCAGACGATATGACCTCATAACCTGATGCACGCCTTTGGTGTAATTGGCAGACCTTGCGATCTGATGCCAATTTGCCATGAGTGCGGCACCTTTGAGAGAATGAAGGGGGTTCTACTTAGACAAATATATACATCCTTCGTTCCCGATTGGAACAAGTGCATACAGCCTTAAACTAGGATTTAAGGCTGTATCGGCATCTCTACAACACTATTTAGAAACTTTGATTTTACTCAAACTCATTGCGTCATGATAAATGTCCTGGACCATGAGAAATAGAAATCAGGCTCCCAAGATATTTTTCTCCATCTATTATGAAAAAATTAATCGACTTCACATTAAGGGCGTGTAAATATATGGTATCCCATTATTAGACTCATGAAAAACGATGTACGAAAAAAAAGCGAAGAAAGGCGACGGAAGGAGGGAAATATTTGATGAGAATCTCGTTGCGAAAAATTAAGGGTCTATCTTGGAACCCATTTAGGTTAGGAATATTATACAATAATTAAAACTACAGAAATAAATCCAGTACTACAAGAACTACGTGCCGGTCACCAGGAGAAAAGAAACTGGATACCGGACCTCGCGAACCACAGTCAACTGCACGCAACTGGGTCTCATCTTGTCCTATACGTCGAAACGAGGCCCGAGTATGAGCCTTCCCAGCGACCTCAAGATCGCAGCCGTCGATTCCCGGGTTCTAGGGTTTACTTCGAGAGAACCTGGCTTTTGTCAAGTCTCTCGCATTCTTTCCTCCTCTTTCTCTCTCCCTGCATCAGCTGCTGCAGTATCACGAACGTCTGCAGCCCTAAACGCTGCCACCATGAAGTACAATCCAAGTATGTGCAGATTCTTTGTTGTATTTGTCGATGAAATTGATCTTACACCAGTAGGGTCGCTGTGAAATTTCCTTTCTGTCATTGTTCTCGTTCATTTCGTGAGGATCGTCAAGCCCTAATCGGAAACAACATGAAATTCAATCCAAGTATGGTTCTTTCGCTTGTGTCTAGTGGTTTCAAGAAACACTTCAAATATTTGTTGTCGATTTTGCCTTGGTTTGCCTGGAATGAGGAACTCGCTGTGCTGTGTGAACATCGCATGTGGATTTACTCGATCTCCGTCTGCCAATGTTGTCGCACCGCAGGGGTAAGCAGCTCTAGACGCAAGTCCCGAAGGGCGCACTTCAGTGCACCCTCGAGCGTGAGACGCATTTTGATGAGCGCTGCCCTATCTTCTGATTTGAAGATCAAATACAACGTGAGCGTTGCACACTTGCTCTCTAAGTTTGCTCTGTATTTTTAAGGATATAAATTATCATTTTGTGAGTAGAGGTTCATGCTACTAAAGTATGTTCGCCAAAGCGAATGCACCGTAAAGCCTCTCTGCTCAATTTCGCCGTCATTCGTAATCGTGCAGGTGCGATCTGTCCCCGTGAGGAAGGATGACGAGGTACAGGTTGTCCGCGGTACATTCAAGGGTCGTGAGGGTAAGGTTGTGCAAGTCTACAGGCGTAAGTGGGTGATCCACGTTGAGCGTATCACCCGCGAGAAGGTGAACGGTAAGGAATTTTTCCTCCAGTGCAGCTTCTACGTATTCCATTCCACACTCAGTTGAGCTCGTCTGTTAGTTTTAGGGCTGAAACAGTCTATTTTATCCTGAGTCTCATGATGTAATTCTCGAGGTGTTCTTTCTCATTTCTTGATTATTGGTCTATCAGGTGCCACCGTGAATGTTGGTATCGACCCATCCAAGGTTGTCATCACCAAGTTGAAGCTTGATAAGGACAGGAAGGCTCTTCTTGACAGGAAGGGCAAGGGTAGAGCCGCTGAGAAGGGCAAGGGTAAATTCACCGCAGAGGATGTTGCCCCCCCTCTACAAGAGGTGGACTAAGTGTAATTTCTTGCCTGGTATTCGAAAAGGCCCAATTTTTTGCACTGCTTTACAGTAGGGATCCACACTCCAATCACAGTGAGCTCAGTTCATTAAGCTCCGACCCTTCGGAATGTTCAGTATTGCGAGGCCTTCAACGCACAGCTATCTATTCAGACTTTGTGGTATTATCTGAAGTGATGGAAGGTAGTTCAAGGCTTCTGGATGTTCATTTCCAGTATACAGGTCGAAAAGAGTCGTAATCTCTCTTACATCCACTGAGTTATTGTATGTATATCCACTAATGAATTCGAGCTGGCTTATCTCTGGCATGTGCATCTGAGTTGAATGCTATAAACTACCCGAATGTTCAAGAGACTGCAAGAGTTGGATCAAAGTAGACGAATCATGGTCTGATGTGTCCAGTTATAGGGATTAATAGCGAGAACTGATGCCCCACACTACCTCACTTCATGTCTCTCGGCTGTTAATTGAATTATCACGTAGAGGAAGTTTTTCATTTCTCCATGCTTTTAGAGAAAATGCCCCGCAATGTGGTTTCCGTTACGCTGTACGTCAGGTAATGTCGTTTCAGTGAACCCATCCCTCACAACTACGACGAATCATCTCCACAAACTACTTGCAAAGACGGAACAGCCGGTTTACTATTGAATTTTGTCTGCCTGGACATTCCCGGAAAATCTTGTTCCCAATTGTGGTGAATTAGGGTATAGTATTGGATATGCGCAATCATGTTCCCCTGTGTGTTTTATGTAATATGTTATATGACCCAGTAGACACAACACTGCGTGTGATTTCCTAGCTGAAACGTATCTTCTGTAGTTTCTTTGCTCAGAAATTGTCTGTACCTTCATCGAGTACATTTCTAGGCCAGACTTCGTGAAGATCTCACTCTGAAAGTACTTCCGATGATATGGTAGTGAGACATGCAGAATGTACCTAATTATAAAATGTCCTACGTTTCGTGTTGAGATTGATTCAATCGATTTGAAGATGATAACCTTCATGTATGATCGTACCTGTGAACGGCAGCACGTGTGAACGAATATTGAAGTATATTGATAATATCTCTATATCATTGCAGAGGATAGCAGTATATGTGAAACCTTCTAAAAATGTGAAAAATAGCAGTCTGATAAGAACAAGTCTGCACTTCGTGGAGGGAAAAATAGTGTTCAGCATACAGACAAAATAAATCTCACTCAAGGTTGTTACTCACATAACTCGGAATTAAATCTGTTCCAAAGTGCCCGATTCTAGCAAGTAAAATGAGAACAGAAAAACTAAACTTTGTAAAATACTAATAAGAACACATTTTACCAGATACTTTGCAAACAGAGTACATTATGTGTGCAAAATCGCTGGTTAGATACATTCTCAACCGTGTCTCCCTGCCTTGATCTATGATCGCGACTTATTCACACAACTGACAACACCTCTCACAACCTTACTGCAAAAATGCATGTGCACCAAGAACCTTGGCCTCGAGATGGTTTTTAAAGTAGAAACAAATTCTGTAGATACCAAAACCGTCGTAAACAAATGGAACGAAGATGTGAACTGATGTTTAGTATCACGACAATATTGGCAAATACAACGACCAATCGGATGTGAGGATGGAGAACATTTTCCGGCCTCGAGAACTGCTTATTACCGTGACCGTCGAAATGACACAGCTTACGTGAAACTATCGCTTTCAGGTTGACAGCGTATATATTGACAAATCGGATATATGGTCGGAATGGTATTTGCCTGCATGTTCTTCCCCAACCACTGCCGATAATAACCGAAAATATCATGTGCGGAGAAGCATCCAATTTGCAATGTACAAAACCGACACGGACAAAGTTTAGGTTGTTTAAACGGCCGTATCTTTGCTAAACTATGTATGCTTGTCAACGAGTATGAAGACCATATGTAATAGTTTGCAAATATTGCAGTGGTTTCAAAACAATTAGTACATCTCTGCATCGTGAAGGAACAACTTTCAGTCCAAATTGCACTTTAATGTTGACACTGCTGAACACAAATCTGAATAGTTATGTATTTTTTAAAGCTCTGGCTATAACGTTTACGAGAAACTGCATAGAATTTGTCTGATGTATCCAAAACATCCAAATTCCTCATGGCAAAATCCATTACCATCTTGTTGGAACCTTGACTGTAAATCCACCCTCCCAAAGAAAGTAAACCTCACATGCTTTACCTCCCGGAATTACCCTTTGCATGTGGAATAAAGCTCTCCGACGATGATAAAGAAAATGCATACTTGGTTTTCGATAAGTAAAGATCGGAAATTATTGATTCTAATAATCCATTAACTTTTGACAATCTTGTCTGCCATTTCAAATTTTCCTCCAGAAGCCTCCTTACATGCATGAAAAGACGAACCAGATGGGTACGAGATCCTAATTCGGGCAGGTCCACGCTAACAGATGCATACTGCAACAGATCAGAAAAGTACTATATGGTACACACCACGCCTGTTAGCGATTTTCGCCGGACATATTGGTAGATGCGGTGAACACCATGAAAAGAGGATTATAGAGAATTGTTCATGCTGTCTGGATGTCCCACGCACACGCTTGTTGAGACCTCATGCAAGCAATGTGGCCTATGACACAATGCAGCCCGCTTCAAGCTAATCTTGGACACCTGACCCTCTTGGCGAATATGACTCTTCCACAGCATTCCTCTTTGCATTCAGTGTCTGTGAAGATTAACAGCTTTTCAACTTTCAGGAAAGACTCGTCGAAGAGCAGCTCTTCTTTTCATCTAAGTTTTCTAAGCTGCAAACGAAAAGCTCAGAGCAAAAAGGGGCACTTTCATGGCCAAGGTCCAAACTCTTCACATTCTCTGCAGACGCAAATTTCATTATCGCCCGTGCCTGAGAGTCCTAGGATTTGGTGCTCTGATCCTCGAGACGTAGGTGGCTAAACGAGGCGCGCATGGATAGCGGTGACGGTGATTCTAATCCCACTTAATTGCCAATGCATGGAGGGTTGTAACGGCGTTTCCAGCACATGCGGAGAACAACAAATGTGTCGAGGTTCAGATGAGAACCTCACTTTATCACTCTATCAGAATTCCTTCCAGAGCCGCTCCACACATCCAAAGCTGGATATCTGGAGAATGCCTGTCTGTTTCCATCGTTGCATGATCATGCAAGCTGATGGTCATGGACACGCTCGAGGTTCGGAACAGGTTTATCCACCGCATGTCACCCATCGATCAATGGAGAAAAGAGCTTCCAAGGCCGCCGTTGGGAAGGAGGAGGAGAGGAATCCGATTACCGGCTTTAGTTAGATGGAAATGAGAAGGCACAGCTGGGCCCAAAAGAGCCAAGCCAGCCAGCCAGGGCGAGCAAGAAGCTCAGAGCTCAGATTCCCTCACAACTGTTCGACTTTCACGGAGCAGAGCACGAGCTCGATGACTGGTGTAATGCGATCATCAATGTTATAAAACTGCGCACAATGCCGCAGGCCTACAACCCGCCTCCCCGCGTGTAGGCTTTACGGCTTTCCAATTCAGAGCAGCGTCGATGGTGAAGACAGTTCCTCAATCTCCACAATCCTCGACATGAGCCAACGACGGCTCGTGATTTTCCGGGGCTTTATGCTCTTGTAGACATAAGTCGACCCTAATCCCGCCCGCGCTTAGAGCCATGCAGTTTTCCGTTTCAGGACCAGGCCACGAAGAGACGAATGCGAGAGCTCCCTGGCCGATTTGATTCGAGCGTGCTAAGAACAACATCGAATAACATGTAGGAATGTGGACTTGGTTATGCTCATGCAAGAAATAAATGCGGGAATTGATGTGCCTCTTTATGATGCAAGAATCTCATGAAAGCAAGAGTTAGACAGTCCTTGGCCATTTCACTAACCTACTTACAGGGCGGTGATTTTGTGTGCTGCCAACAGTTATTATTTGTTATATTCGCTCAACAGTAAACTATGATGATGCTGGTTTTTCCAAGATTTCGCCTTCCCAACTTCAAACTTCAAAAGGTTGTTTTTCATCCTTTCCTCTTCGGGTCCTGCCCGCCCGCCCGCCCGCCCGCCCGCCCGCCCGTTGGCCCGCGGCTGCTCTTCACACACGCTCCCCTCACCGTGTCTCCGATCCGATTGCTCGCCATAATCATTAGCTCGGGCGACGAAGGTCGAAGCCAATTCATCGGACTCGTTCGGGTTCGTTCAGTTCAGCCCCGTACGGCTCGAGCATTTGTTGGATGCTTATGCATGCATCAGGGAGAGGGTCCTGGACTGTGGTCGGTCCGTGACGCCGAGGACCATTCGGATGCACAGCTTTCTATCCGGAAGGTCGTTTCTTTCGGGCTCGGTGGCGACGCACGAGCGCATACGGTTGCCTTCGTATTCTCGCGCCGAGGCCTTATCCGGGAGTGGGAGACGATGCTCGAGCGGCCAGGCAGACAGTCAATGCATTGGCTCTGGCGCTGGCACTGGCACTGGAAATCAGAAGGAAAAGATTAAAGCAGGGGTCATGGGCATCCATACGGTCGATCTTCGCCTCGATGGTTTTCCAGCACAATACGGTGCACATGGATGCCCCATTGCCTCCTCCCTCCTCGCGTTCCAGGACGGCCTGCCTGGTGTAGGTAGCGCGGTGACAACGATGCCTGCAAGGATGGCGGTCTGTTTGCTCATCTAGAGGAACTAGAATTGTACATATGGCGGTCGTGTCCCCGACTCGCCTGCTTCAGTCGTACTGAGCAGGACGGTGTTCCCTCCCACTCGAGGAGCTCAACGGGGGTCTGTGAACTCCTGGGCACCATCTGTAATGTGTCTTATGTGGATCACGCCATCGGATGCAGATGCACATGCACATTGAAGTGCCTAGTTGATGTGGTGAGTGATGGAGACTACGATAGTGTTGGTTGCAGCACTCTAGCGGGAGGGAGGGAGGGAGGGAGGGTAGAGTGCTGTAAGTCCATTGAGGTAAAATTCTTCGGAGTTACATTCCCTTTGGTCGGGAACCTTTTACTTATCTGCTCGTCCACTCGAGTGCATTAGGGCGTATGTGCCAAGCGTCGTGATAATGCAGCTGCTGCAAACGTAGCATGTCTTGCTCGCTGTCTGTAGGATCCTACTTCTGGTACAGGCTCTGGCAGTGGGGCCAGCGCTGAGGTAATCCTTTCGACCCAGAGCGTCGTGCATAGAAGGCGCAATTTTCATCACTTTCAAACCCTCCATCCGACCCTGTCACCTCAGCTTTAGCTGGTCTTGCAGTCTAGGATGATGATGAACTTCTGGCACGACCACTTCTTTACGTCGGCTGCAGACAAAAAGCCCCCAATAATAAAACAATTTCCATGTCCTGTGAGGGAAAGTCCGTGACCGGGTCTCGTGCTGATCTGGTGTCGAGGGAGACATCGATTCTCCACTGTTGTAGTGGGTCATGTGTGCCTTAAACCATGCTGTTCTACAACGTAGGCCATGCACTCGTGTATCTCACTCCCCCAACCAGAACCAAACCCCACCAGGCTCGCTCGCCCTCGCGTCCCATCCATCTCGCTCTCCAAGACTCCATCCAGACAAAGAACCATGGCAACAGCTTCCACTAGAAATCGACGCGAGGATCCAGGACATCCCTCTCCCCAACGCAAATGGGGGAGTGTACTAGTCACTCTCGTATTTTTCCATTCCGTCTGCTTCTCTTACACCTCTCGCAATCAGTTTGTAAAATGTGAAAGGTTTCCTAGTAATTCTACTCTAACATCTCTTGCGATCCACTTTTACGAATGTCTAAATATTGGGGGTCTTCAAGATGCACTACCCATCAACTATTCCCTCTACCTGGAGCTTGACGAAAACCCCTGCTGATTAAGATACTATTGCGGTTTCCGAAATACACAAAAGTAGAATGACAACTATGATACTTACTTGTTCACATTCTCGGTAAAGCTGTGCACGGTCCCTAACTCAACAATCCATGTTATGTACCAATGCCCGTAATCTCCACAGCCAACTAAAGAATGACTTGTTAAACCAGCAAACCTCTGCATTAAGTTAGTCGCCCATCGACTCTTGCTGACGTTGAGTGCGCCAATATCATCTTGAGCTGGAATTTTGGTGATTTCTCACTGGACTCAAGTAAATGGGTGTTCAGCCATGTTTACGGAGAATTTTTGTCTTCTTTTGTCACGTTGATGATGGAGAGGACTGACATGTAGAAGGAAGAAATCGAAACATTCTCATAACATCCTCGGCTCGACAATCGTCGGTCATGCCTTGGCTACCTACTCGTAAGATTCGCAAAAGACTTCATCCAAGTCTATTCGACGGTGTCACTTTTCTCTTCGTGTTAGTAGGTAAGGTAAGGAAAGTGATGCTGGGTTTCCACGATCATGGGCCAGGGATCAGAAACTCTAGACACCCATGCCGAATGTTGAGGAATATATTGTGCATGTTTCATCTTCCTACCAACCGAGGTCAAGCGAGGAGTTCTTTTGTAACCTTGACCTTACTCTCCTGGCCACGACTAAGCTTCTCACTCTTAATGCGGGCACGAGAAGTTCCCAAATCCGACATGCTTTTCTTTGAAATTTCCAAGTCATAGCTTGCATCATTGGAAAATTGATTACGCCTCCAGATGTGTCGAGTGAACTCACCGCCACCAACCGGAATGTTCATGTATAGTTCACTCTAGACTGGGTACGAGAAATAGGTCCGCCCGGTCCGCATTGAAGGAAATTGCTTCCAGTCGGGATCCTCTCGGATGTGTACCTGGCACCTACCTGAAGATCTGCCTCCGACCTAGTCTTCCTACTGCTCACGTCACTTTGAAGGATCTCCCGTTGTGATCAGTGTTCCAGGCCATCGGTTCGAGTTTAATCTTTCTTGTTTCTACTTTGCCCTTCGAGCCCCAGCAATATTTACCATGTTCCATATCTAGAGTAGGGATTCTGCATGAGCTTGTGATCATTTTTTCCCTGGCACTGGATGGAAAATGATCATTTGGGTTTTTTCTGCGAAACTCCGGGACTTGCATCTTCCAGCCTAGACGGTGATCATGATAAGTGAGTGGCCTTCGTGCGGACTACTGCTGGCCGGATTGTAGAATCCAATTCCTTAGGGGGCAGACCCCGGCCACAATAAATATCAAAAGGCCAGGAGAGAGCGAGGTGCTAAGATCACATCTCGGCACCTTGAGAAAATCGTTTCGAGCACCACATTGCCAATAACATGGTGGCGAGTTAGGGAGAGCCACTTTGGGGCCCTGGGCCGACCTCATCCGGGAGGGACATCATGTGAGCCGCTTCTGAAGGGTCTGGACTCCGAGCTCCCTCTGGCACACGTTCTTCCCTTGCTTTTGTTTTTTCCTGCTTCCTTGACCCGGGCTCCGAGTCCGAGTCCTTGTCGAGTCCACCTCCGGTGTACCGCATCATCGTCGAACAAAAAACATGTCCCACAACAATAATTCGCATGTCCTGCACGATGTCAAAAAGCTCGCTAACCGTCGGCTCCCGCGACACGGTGAGTGGTCCGCGCTCCATGTGGATTTCTTCTATGCTTCCCATGCCCCGAGCACTGTACTCTACTGTACTTGTTTTGTGTCGAGAGAGGGGGAGGGGGAGAGAAGAAGAAAGGAAAAAAAGAAAAAGAAAAGAAGAGAACGAGGCTCTCTCAGCAGTTGAATCCGGGCGATGGAGCTCATAATATCTCCATGTTCCTGCATATTGAAGGTTCAGTTGCTGAGCTCACGTGGCCTAGCCCAGCTGAGCCCCTGCAGCGTGAAGGGCGAAGGAAGATGTGCAAGTGTGCTTTGCAATCACATCACCATAAGCGCAAGCGCAAAATGGCAAAAGCGTAGTGAGTAGAAGACAGAGTCCATGTGGGGGCCAGTACAAGTACGCCTGCTCACTTTTGACTTCAGGTCCATTAAGTGGATTTCTTGGGTCTTGCTCGTTAGGGAAACCGATCTTCTTCGTCGATCGTTGCAGCAACAGTTGCATTTGTCTTGTACGTGTACTCAGGCCGTGGTTTAGCCGCTGGGCAATTAGGGCCGGCCTAATTGCCTTTCCTCTGCGGAGTTGTAGAGGATTTGCTCGAGCCTTGAACCTTCTTTGCTGCGTGTACGTGTGCTGTGGTGACGTACACAAGCCTGAAAATGCTTGCGCAGCACTGCTGTTGGCCACATGTCCTGTACAACCGCCCATTACGCTAACTAAACTTCCATTAATCCTCCTCTCCCTTTCATTGCCACGCTCTTTGTGGCTCCTGATCTTATCTTCACCCACGGGACTCTTATTAATGCTGTATCTCCATCGTAGCTCCTCCGGGCGTTACGGTATACCGGTGACCACAGGCCTCCGGCGCAAGTTGAGCAACTTGTGCGCGATGAGGACAATTTGAGAACCCAGGCATAATTTTCCACAGGCGGCATCCGATTTCTCTTTGAAGCCGTTTGGAATTTTGACGAGCTACAAGGTCTTTAATCTCCCTCCAGACCTACATTTCAAGAAAAGGGGAAGAAACTCTTACGCGTAGAACCCAAAACGCCTTTCCAGTACACTTCATCGAGCAATGCGCAAGATATGCAGACGCAACTATTTTCGTAGCTGCAGCTGTTGCGAAGGAGATTTGTGCTTTCTGATTTCTAAGCGCAGAAATGCAAATGTTGCGAGCATTCGAAATGCATCACATCTTCATCCGAGTGTTATTGGATTTGTCTCATTGCTAGACACATGTGGCTTGCTTTGCATCACCGATACGGGGTTTGGGAGGCACCACCACCTTCCAAACCACGAAATCTCGCAGCTTTTTCTACGTGTCCCACGTAGAGGGCCAGTACAGTAGAGCGTTAATGGAGCGTCTCGGAGTCAGGCCATCTACGATCGAATGGCAGGCAGACTTGGTAAACGGCCGGGCTTGTCGACCGTTCCTCGTCCTCCAGGTGTCCACTTTCGTCCACATCGTCGACATTCTCCTTTGCTCGTATCATGTAGCCAATGCCCGCTGATTTCATTTATTAGCCCAAGGCTTGGCTTGGCGAACTTGCGGTCATGCTGCTGCCGCCGTCGTTGCTGCTCTCAGTCACCGGGAAGACTTTGGATGCCAGTGGTCTCAGGGGTCTGCTGTTCTCTTCAGTTGACCGCAAAGACCTTTTCTCGACCTTTTTGTCTTTTCGACTCTCCCCAATTTCCAACGCCCAGCAGCGGTCCGGAAATGCTCGGACGACATTGGCATCTGCTTTCTGCGGCTTTCGAGAGCCGAATGATGGTTTCCTGCAAAGAAATGAACGAGAGCGAGCGAGGTTTTGGATTCATGCCCTCGACCAAATTCATGTGTCAGTTCGAGGGGTCCGGCATCTTTTGCGTGGACCATGGAATCATTCTCCTCATCAATCTCCGTTTGGAAGTGCATGAAGCAAGGATGCTGCAAACGAGACGGGGCCATCGATCTTCCCGTGCAAGGGAAGAGAGGAACAAACACCCCCGAAAGTTAGAAGAAGACATTTCCATTAAAGCATCATCACGTCTTCTGGGGCATGGATCATAGACCCTTGCCATATCCTCATATTCCTCATATTCTCGTAATTGATATCCGTGAGAGTTTCGCACCGATCCATGAAGGTACTCAATGGAGCTGCCTGAGAAGATGTGGGGAAGTGTGAAGCCTGGCGTGAGCAGTGATCATTGCCGAGGGCCAAGATGGGCAAAGGGAACTCGTTTTCATTGGCATTTCGTGGCAGACTGCGGAGTGTAGGAGTTGCATGAGACAGATGTTGAGCGCGAAAGGGCGACGGTGCTGATTCTGACCTCGAGAGCGTCAACGAAACGGTGTGGGCAAAGCGAGAAGTGAAAAGTGCTCTCGTTGGCAATGAATAATGGTGCCGGAATGATTTCCTCGTCCCACCAGCCAGACGCTGCTCGTCTGTCGAAGCGTTGCTTTTTCAACGTCACGGAATTTGGTTTCCACATGTGTCATTCCCCAGCTTGCTCTATCCTTGTGGCGGTCTGTCTGCGGTTCCAGACTTTGTCCTTGTGGTACCACATTTCCGCCATCTGCTCCAAAAGACGAGAGATATGTTTATATGGAGGGCAACGTAATGATATCCAGCGGAAAGGATCCAGTACCACCTTTCCGCCATGTACTCCACCAGAGTAGTGGTATGTGGGGGAACCTCGTAGCAAGAACGTTCAAAGCGTGTATGCCACTTTATTGGTGCTGTAATCTCCTCTGTTTTCAGTCCAGGAATTTGGTTAAATGCAAGACAATGACTTTGGCACTATATGGTTGATACTTTTCGTTTTATACGCATGGAACCAAACATGTAAAGGTAAAAATATGTCTTCATGCTCTCGAGATCTTCAATTTATCTATGTCAAAGAATCTAAATCACACCCTGCTCATCCCAATGATCATAAACTATATTTATTTCTCACATATTTCAGAGTCTAATGCAAGGCAAATCATAGCATGCACAACGAGAGATCATACCATGAAAAAATATAAACATTAGAAATCATCGATGAACACCAGTTGTTGTATGTATTATCATTCTGTAAATTCATAAACTATTCTTTGAGAATTTTATACATTATCTGTTGAAAATAAATTTTTCTTTATTTTTTCGAACTAATCCAATTTTGAAAATAAATTTGTCAACAAACGTCCATTCACACATTCACTGACTCTATATATATATATATATATATATATCTATCGTTTTATTCTATCGGATTCTTTCAGCCTTCATTTGCGGTGCGAATAAAACGGGACTCATCAAAATAACTAAACCAATGTATATTTTAAAACTTTGAATGCATCACTATTTTAGAAAAGATTATCCAACTGAAGCTGACTAAAAAACAAACTAAAATAAAACTTGTTCGTACAAATAATATGTATCACGACTTTTTCCTAATTCGTTGCAGCGATGTGATCGGTTTCATAAGCTGTATAGACCTTTTAAGGAACCAAAACTTCTTGCGTTAGAATTTACTATATGGTAAAGTCAAGCAGTATTTTAAATGAAAAAATATACGAAACATATGTAGAATATTCAAAAAATACTTTACAGGAATTGATACGATTTTGGATTCATTTTGAAGAGCATGTCAAACGTGCTTGAGTACATTAAGATAAAACTCTGTGAATTAATCTATACGCTTAACGAATCATTACATTTACAACCAACTTGAATTTTCTTAACAACAGTTTTTTTGAGAGTCATATATCATGTAGCGTTATACATAAAAAATATTCACATAGGTGTGTAAGCAAGTTTGATTTATGTTGACATAAATCCACACCATTCACCTATAAATGTCATATGTATTCATATTATACAACACAAATTTCATTACATTTAGATTGTATGATGATTTTAATGTTAACAAATTCTTTGAAACAAATAGTCACGCTATCTAAAATTCGTTAGAATATGTTCATTCAAACAACGGCAACATTATAATTCTAAAGGTATAAAAGAAATCAAGTGTCCATTCTTACTCCATTAGATTGAAAGTTTCAAATCAAAATACTTTTACAAATTATTTGTTTCTTATAATTCAACATTGACTAAATTTGAACAATTAAATCCTCATTTTTTAATCAATAGATGAAACAATGTGAACTATGATATCAACTTTTCAAAATTTTAGATTTCTTTTTTAATGTGAGATATGCATCTATGTTGATATTGTAAAAAATGATACAATTGAATCAGGATTTTTTAATTTAATTTATTCCTAAAGTTGTATTTAGTGAGATGTGTGACAACATTTGCAAATTTGTTATTTTCACATATCAAATTGTTCATGTCAAGTAACATTATTAAAAGCTTTTAAGGATATGAATATTTGTACAAACTCACTGATGTTACGATGAAATCATGGCAAAACAGGTCAATAGATCAACAGTTATCATTTTGATGTCTTTATAAATCATGTGATTTGTTTTGATTGTCAATGCTAAATGATAATATATGTTCAAGAAATAAATTTTGAAATTGTTAATATTTTTATCATATATATATAAAAGTTGCTTCATATAAAGAAAGATCCTGTTTCAAAAAAGCTTGACACATCTATAGAGAAAAAGAGAATTTATGTTGATGATTACTAATAAAAATTTTAAATCAATGAAACTTATTGAGTTTTTAAATTTATGGTATTGTTTAAATAAAGTGCAGTAGTGAAATGTAAGTGAGTTATATTTATATTTTCGGACTGGATTTCCTTGTTTATGTTAGTCTCCGCCATCGCGCTTCATTTCTTTCTCACTTGGTCTTGTCTTAGATGTGGATGCGGTTTCGACTCTAGCTTTTATTTATTTATGTATCGGGAATTTCTACGGTTTCGTGTTTTTGCTGGGTCTCACGGTGATTGATTATGGTTGAAATGTGAAATATGGTCTCAATATTTTCAATATTGAGATACCTTCTAACCTTATAAGCTAGCCGGAGAATGTTTCTATTTGGATAATGGTGTGCTCAGCATACAAATGAAGCTTTGAAAAGAGTAGTCCCAATCTACTGTTGAAACCGCGTTGACTTGCTAAGGGAATAACACATACATCGAGCTGAAGTAGAGGTATAAAATGCTTGGACTTGTCGATTTGCAGTCAACAAATGGTTAGCCTGTGATGAGCAGTGATTAAAACTAGAGATATTTTGGTAATCAAATGGCACACGGGACTTAAAGCATGGGAAACCATCGCGGGCATGAGGACCGGCGAAAATATCCAAAAGAAGAAAGGGCCGGGCAGATAGGACAGCCCGCGAAATCCGAATAGAATTTTCAAACTTCGTTAAGAGTTTGAACCGGACGAAAATCAGAGAAGAACACGGAATGTACGTGTCAGCTCCACATTGGATTGGACTCTGTTCCAATGGTTGTAAGGCGTCGATCGGGGCCTGTGTTCGTTGAGGTGTTCGAAATTGGAATCCAACGGCGGAGGATGCGACCATTCTGAGTAAGATAACATTCGCTGCGAAGGGCGTTGCAGCGAAATAGTGTCGCAGAGAAGGGTACGATGTCAGCATCCGACGCAGTAGCCCCGCCCAGTTGGGTTGCCCGGGTGCAGGGGGAGACCGGACGCTGTGGTGCGTCAAGATGAAGATCGGACGGTGATGTCTGGAGATGCCGGGGAACCTTCGTTTTATGTGGTACAATCAGGCTCCTACTACGCAGACAAGAGAGAAGAGAGAAAGGAGAGAGAGAGGTGAGGCTATGGCAGAAGGGGCGTGAGCGGGAGGAGTTGGCAGTAAGAGGGCAGATGTGGCTATGGCGATGGCGGAAGTGACGACGCGCCTTTATTGCCGCCGCGAGCGCAATGCAGAGGACCTCGGGAGTGACCAGTGAGCACAGGACTGGGGAGAGACATTCAATCCGATTTTCCGGCATTCATTCATGTCCGCATTCATGAGCTCGGTCTCTGTTCCTGCTGTTGCCTGCGCTTGTGGGACAAGGAAAGCAAAGAAAGGCAAGTGAAGAAGGCGAGGGGCAGGAAGATTTGCCGATCCGGGAGAGTGGGAAGCGCTTTGACATATGCCCGTCCAACCTTCCAGAGAGCGTTTGAGGAAAGCTCCGGTGATTTTGAGCGAGTGAGACTTGTGCATGCAATAGGGAGGCGAGTGTACAAAAACCTTGGACTCGGTTTTGTAGTTTAGCGTCGACAGCGAGCGAGCGTGCGTGGGTGAGTGTGGGTCTTGAGTTGGGAAAGCGAAGGAGTTGGGGAGGAAAACCCTAGGGAGGAGGGGAGATCAACATCACCAGCAGTGTAGAGCCAAGAAGCGGATCTGAGGTGACGCAAAATCCGTGGGACGGTGCCATGAGGGACTTTTCCGTGATTGGGGAATCTTTGAGCTCAATATTTTAGAACAGAACTTCGCGCTCCGCATTTCACTGAGGAAAAGATCGCGGGGTGCTCTTGGAGTGGTGCCATGCGAGTGAGTCGGTAACTGGGAACTACATTTGTTGTCTAAACTAGGTGGCCTGGGGAGGATGCCATTTGGATCGACGTTGTGAAAGCCTCGGAGGAGCTGCGGGGACTCCAACACGCTTGCATTGCGGGTTGGAACCTTACGGGGTGGGTGTACAGTGCTGCATCTCTTTAAATAGTGGTCTGGTCGGAGCTGGGGAGTGTTTTTCTCCTGCTTTTTAGGGCTTATCCGTCTCCAGAATGTCTGCGGAGGAAGTTCAATGACAGTGTAGACAGACGAGCTGATTTTTGGGGGGAAGCAGTGGGCGCCGGGCTCCGATTTATGGTGGGAATGCACTTTGTTGGGTGGGCTGAGAACGTTGGAAGGGACTCGGGGGTCTCTTGAAGATGAGAGAATCACAAGTGCGCAGATATGGTTGCATGTTGAACTGGAAATCCGTGGTTGGCATTGAAAGCAAAAGTATTCCACAGCATACGTGGAGTGCACCTTCGTTTAATTCATTTGAAACTACCACGGTGGCATCGTGCGAGCTCAATTGAGAGGGAACGGGTGACTATGTGAAGCTAGATCACTCAACATCTGCCTGAATGCATCGACGGGGAGGAAAAGTCAGCAGGTGGTGGACGGGTGGGGCACTCATGAACGGGATTTTTCTCACTCGTTGTAGTAGGGATGGGTGAATGAAGCAGGTGGAATCATACAATGGGCACTACGGAGCTCGATCGGCACGGCTTAGTCCTTTCTTGCGTCGTGTTTGGCACATGCTTTTCGGTGCTTAGCGCACTTTCGATTGCCATTCTTGTCGCTGTGAATTGGCGCCCATGGAGGATATACAGGTGCGTTTTCTTGTTTGGTAATCAAACCTTTACAAATTCAACGTTCTAAGCGCTCAGTCCGATGGGCATGTTCCGAAACGATGAACCACAGAAGTACTAATTAGACGAGTGGGCACACTGCAAAATGGGGACGTTGCCACCTTTGAGGGTTTAGCTCTTGAGAGGATATATTGAAACCATTATTCTCCAAAATACTTGTATGGACGAGGCGTCTCTCAGTGGTGCCTTGAGATAGACTTCCGATCCCGATTCCAGAAAACTCCACCGGGGAAGTCATGTCGTAGGATGAACTGGGTCATGTGGATCGCGCATCAGTCTTGACTGCCTTTTGGAGTCTCGATTACAGACCGAATGCCTATGGACCCTGACAGCGACTTTATACCTTTAGAATGTCTGCAGTGAAGTACGTGCAATCTGGAAACTCGGCTGGTGACATTTGCGGAATGTCGAAACAGCAAGGATCTCTTTGCCGAATTTATTGCGCTCTGGTAGCGCATGGTTTTGTCGAGGTCCCGGAAGTGATTTTGACTTCCTGTGTTGGCAGTTGCAAACTATAGTACATGGGGTCTGGATAGTACACCGGCTTCGCTACGTGGGTCACTGAAGACGACGTCATGCAGCTCAAAATATGAAAGTATCGCTGCAGCAATAACTGAGAAGTCTAGATTTTGTCCTCGTAGTGTACGTCCGGATCCCAGGAAAACTGCCAGGCACGGCCACGAGCGTTTCTCCCTATTCCGCTTAATTGAAGCACCTTGCACTGAAGAAGAAAATCAGAGCGGGTAATCTATACGTTCATACATGACGACCTTCCGCGAAGGTCGCAGCGAATTGAGGTCGAGCTTAAGCTCGACTGGGGCAGTTGGATCTTCTCGGTTAATCACAAAACTGCCTAGTCAAGTGCGATCTCGTTGCGCACGTAGACGGGCTTTAGATTCGTCCTTTAGTGGTCTTGAATGTAAGGTTCATCGAAGAGTCCGATCGAAAGTGGGCGTGTATGCTGGTCAGATGGAAGAAAACTAGTATTCAGCAAGTTGAGTTCGTCCGTGTTGATTGGTACTGTGAGTGACCATGTGGGATTTTCAAGATCTTCGTAGATAACGGTCATCAAGTGCTTGTTATTTTCCAGTTGGATATTCGCACGGAAATGGCCATGGTTTTTACAAGGCCCGCAGTTGAGCCTTGTCGCCGGACTTCTTTGCTGGGCCGCTTGGGCGTTCGTCCTATCGCCGATAGTCGTGCTCATCTTGTGGGGTATGCGGCTCATCGCTCTTTTGGATCATACCACCATTGGACTCGCAGTGATTATGGCGGGCACGGCTCTTCTGCTAGCTTTTTACGCCATTATGTTATGGTGGCGAACGCAATGGCAGAGCTCCAGTAAGTCTCTTCTTCTTCTAGTTGGTGTCTTTTGATATGGAACGGGCTTGGAGCTTATTACACATAATTCAAATTGGAAATGTTCATCCAAGGATAACGTACACATCAGCTAGTCGACAACATTTTATACTTAGTCAATCTGCATGTGTCAGTTCTCCCCTTTGCCACACTGGTATAATGCCTTGAAATGGGACGAATCATTGCAAACTCATAGTTGGACAGTCGGTTTTATTATTTCCTGATCTGTCTTCGTTGGTGCCGAATATCGATTTCTCCCTCTAAGTTTGCTAGAGTTTTACATAACGTATCATGCGCTCTCAATTCGATGCGGTGCCCGAAAACCCTGCAGAGTCCGTGTTCGTTTCAGGACATGCAAGCCTGGGCTTGCTCGTGTAATTGAGCTTCTGACTACCTTTTAGTTGCAATTGACCTTGCTGATGAGAATATGCTTGTTGTAATCCTTCTTCTCCGGTGGTAATCCGTCCAATATATTACTTACTCGATAATCTCTTTGTATTGCAACAGGAGCCGTCTTCATCCTGCTCTTGCTAGCAGTGACTCTTCTTTGTGGGTACGAATTCGCTGCTGTTTATGTTAGTGCAGGAAGGCCTGCATCTCATCGATACTCACCATCAGCGTTTTTCTTCGGGGTCTCGGCGATAGCAATGGGAATCAATATGCTCTTTATATGCAAGATGGTCTTTCACGGTATTTGCCATACACCTACTACTAAGACGTGCCTCTCGTCGTTGCGAACATGGCGGATGTAATACTATTTGCAGTTTCCTCATAATAGTTCAGTACGTAGTGTCTCCAGATGATGAATTATTTAGTTCGGAGTTCGGCTGTCGGTACGCTTTTGAGGATGATTGATTGTATTTAAATCTTCGCAACAGCACTTGCAGCTTGTACTGTCAATCACAGTTATAGTTCGAACATTTCATTGCAGGATCTGGCCTGGATGTGGATGAGTATGTGAGGCGGTCATACAAATTTGCCCATGCCGACTGTATAGAAGTTGGCCCAGTTGCATGTATGCCAGAACCTCCAGATCCTCGAGACCCAGCTCTGCAAAAGCAAAACAGGTAATATCTCTTTTATTCCAATAGAGGATGCGGCAAGTTGACGCCGTATTTAAGGCTTTCATCTTGCAACCAAACGTTTAGACTTCTCTACAGTTTGCTAGACGGTCTTCATGACAGGATTTTTATGAAATGTCTCGAGGCAGCAAGTAGAGAGGTAAACCGTGTAAGGTTTATATCGAGTCACATGCATTGGAATTTTGTCTTTTACGTCGGTTACAAGAAATCGGATATGACATTGTCATGAAAAGTTCTTGCTGCTTTAGTTACTTCACTTCGAGCACGCAACCCACGGTTACCACGGTCTGTATAGTCGAATTTTCTCCACGTACTCCTCGTTTCGCTTAGAGATCGTCGAAGTGCCTCAAATGTTCGCATATTTCTGTCTATTCGAAATCACGTCCAGCCCTTGTGAAACAGAAGTCAGTCTTGCTCCTCCGAGACACATGTTTGATGGCTTTTTATGCCATTGATTTTTCTCCTCACAGAACCATGCTGTCCATATGGATCGTATAATTAATTTTCTCCGACTTGTTTTCTCTTCGTCTCGCAGAGCGTTCCGTTTTGCGCTCATGTATTTGGGCTCGGTCCTGGTGTTGGTCGGATACTCGTTGCTATATGGACTCACTGCACGGAAAGCTCGCTGGCTTGGAGGTGTTACGTCAGCTGCCGTGATGATCCTGGGTTTGTCCCGACACTATCAATTAGCAGTCTTATTCTGTCATATTAGCAGTCTTATTCTGACCGGTACCTTTTCAGTTTCCAGGGTCAGCTGCCTTTAAAAAGTTCACCGTTGCTGCAATGTACTTCTGTTTTCCCCCACAGTAAAATGCTTACATTCAGCTCTTCCTACGACCTAGTTATATATGTCCAGGTTTGCTTGTGGTCGCAGATATAGGTTGCTAGTCGTTGCGAGTGATTGATGCTCTCGTTTCTGATATCTCTTTTCGAGGTTTTTTTAAAGAGCAATATATCTTTTTTTCTCTTCTTTGTCAACATCTGTCTCTTCCAGGTTCTTGGATGACTAATTGGAGTTTCTTGGATTTCTAATATGTGCTTTTCATGATCTTTGCTAATATGGACAAGCACATCCCTGAATCTATTGCCAGATGCCAATGTCGGAGCGTGTTTGTTTGGCTTCAAACTTCTCAAAAGCCCCGTTGTGGCACTCGTTGTGGCTGGACTATATCGAGTTATTCTCATCGGTTTCGGTGTTTATTACTGGTATGGAAGAGATCGACCTTTTGGCAGGATACAATGCGTATAATTCACGTAGAACATAAGTATTTCTTTTTGGACTGCGAATGCTAATATTGTACTTAATGTGGCTGGCTCAGGTATCTGGGACATTGTATAAGTTATGCTGTAGTCGCCACAGTCCTCTTAGGTGCAGCTGTCAGACGACATCTGGAGGTAGTGAGTCCTTCAGCTGCCAGGAGAGCTGCTCTTGAGCACACTGTCGTTCGGCTCAGAGAAGGATTTCGCAAGAAAGGACTCGGCAGTTCTTCTAGTTTTTCTGATGGCCGTACTTCAAGTGCGATGCGTAGCAGTAGCGTTGAGGCTGCTCAGCTAGGTGTTGCGCTAGAAGCCATGAGCAGAGCAGGTATGAGAACAGGCGAAGGACCTTACAGTGGGCTTCCGAACCAGCATCTTGGATCCGTTGCAGCTCAGCATGGTGCAATTGGGGTTATTGAGGAATGTGCCGAAGATGGAAGCTCTCCCATGCCAGATGAAACTGACAGGGCCGTTGTCAGGCAGCTTGGAGTCGGACAAGTGTCCGAGGATAAGGGTCCGACACCTAGACAGACCACAACCTCAGATACGGATGCTGGACTTATTTCAGGAGATCGACAAGGGTTGTCAGAGCGTTACAGACCAATCTCGCATGGTCCGGACTTCGGGCACAGTCATGGGCATAGTCTTGAGTCATTTTCAAGTATTGTAGGTCCTTTGGATCAGCTTGATCACCTGGCGCTGATGTTTCAAGAACGCCTGAATGATCCCCGTATTATGGCGATGCTTAGGGGGAGGAGAGGAGCAGAGCAAGATCTCACATCACTCCTTGAAGACAAGGGTTTGGATCCGAATTTCGCCGTAATGCTTAAAGAAAAGGGACTCGATCCAACACTTTTGGCCTTATTACAACGAAGCAGTTTAGATGCCGATAGAGACCATAGGGACAATACAGATCTAGGAACTGGCGCAAACCCATCGCAAGATGCTTCATTGCCCGAGGAGGGCATAACTTGGTCGGAGGAGTTGAGGAGGAAGCAATGGGAGAAATGGGTGCATCCTATCCGATTCCTTGTACAGTTGTTTGCTGGAACACCAGAGCGTGCTTGGGTTCTTTTTAGTGTATTATTTGTCCAGGAAACCATTCTTATCGCAATCTTCCGACCTCAAACCGTCACCGTGATAAATGCTTCACATGAGCAGGTGACCTCAGACATAAAACAACATATCCTGGTCTTTACCTTCGAAGAAAGCTTGTTATAACAGCAGTTGCGCTCTTGCCGATTTCCTGATTATCAGTTTATGTCACAACTCCACTGACTTTCTTACTGTTTCTCCGCAGTTCGAGTTCGGTTTCTCAGCACTGCTTTTGTCCCCAGTTCTATGTTCCATCATGGCTTTCTTCCGAGTAATGAAAGCTGAAAACATGTGCCTTAACTCGAGAGCACGGAAGGTACGTCTATCTATCTGTCTTGAGACCGGAGTGGAATACTTTGAGTAGACTTATCCTGCCATATATCTTCTCACATTATCTATCGAGGACTCTCGTATGAATTGGATTCTTGACCTAAGTCCGTCTTCCGGAAGTATTGTGTCCTAGTCAGCCCTTAAAGCATATGTTGTCCATATCTTCTGACTATACCCATTCCATTGATGGCTGTAGTATATGTTTTTTGATGGTGTTGAACTGTTGGTCGTTTGACAATGATGAAGTGGAGAATTTGGAAACATCTTTAGATCCTCAGTGATGATCTGATTGGTATGGTGATTTGATGATAACAGTATGGAGTGGTGGCATGGCTTCTAAGTACGTCTGTAGGACTCTTGCTCGCGTTTCTCAGGTGGGCTATTTTCCAAAAATTTATTTTCTCTTTGAAAAGGAGGTGGTTATTGCTAATCTTGCAAACATATGACTTTTGATGATCAGCGAGACTATACTCTGACCCTCTATTGCGAGTAACGAAATCTCTGGTATGTGCAGCAAATCATCGATCATTCTTGGCCTGGCTTTGGCAGTGCCACTAATCGCAGCCTCGCTGTCCATGGCACTGCCACTCTGGGTACGGAATGGATATAGATTTTACAAGCCAAAGGCGTCTGACTCGCAAAGTGACGGACCACAATCTTCCCAAACAAAGGGCATGTGTGGGCAGGGAGAGGTAAGCCGAAGGGCCCAAGTTTTACGTCTCTGTCCTATGCTTGCCACAACCTCTGTAACCTATGTTATGCACTACTTTACAGGGAATTTTTTTTTGGAGTTATTTGGTACGATACCCAACGTTGAATACAGCTAAGGGGATACAACGTTACAGTGAGGCCTCATGTTCACTCTTGTTAAAGCGGAGATATTTTGACACTTTCTCCGAACTTCCCCAACTTGCAGGACATTCCGATGACTCTAGCGATCATCACATGTGTCGGTTCGATTATCGGACTTGGTCTCCTCATATCCTTCAAGCCTCTTGATGACCTGAGCTACTCGGGATGGAGTGGTCCACAGCCAAGCTCAAATTCTCCTTATGCGTCATCATTCTACTTGGGTTGGGCTATAGCATCAGCGTTAGTTTTGATCTTAACCGGGATACTTCCAGCAGTTTCTTGGTTTGCAACATACAGGTTTTCTTTCTCCTCGGCCGTGTGCGTCGCAATTTTTATTGGTAAGAAGTTGCCGTAGGCAAGTAGAAGTGAGCTTTGTCCATGAAGTTATTGAATTACAATCTTGGTAGGTGCTGAGGGCGGAGATCGTGATTTTTACTGGGATAATAAATATCTGTTCATGTCACTGCAGTTGTTCTGGTGACATTTTGTGGGGGTTCATATATGGGTATCGTGCATGCTCGAGACGAAAGAGTGCCGGTCCAGGCAGATTTTATTGCAGCCTTGTTGCCTTTGGTGTGCATTCCGGCCGTTTTTCTACTGGGATGTGGTCTTTACAAATGGTTAGTATGTCCTGCTTCTCGCAAGTCTTGGTTCAGTAAATATGATTGTTAGCCTAGGTTATGATGCTTCATGCGCATATCCTCTCGGGTTTTGACATCCATTCTGAAGACGATGGTGTTACTTCTGGGAGTCTCATGTATGGGTATCTTCCTATCTGTTCCGCAGTTAACGTACTATAGGTGGGTAGTTTTATTGCCACACCGCTGTGTAAGACACTGGCATCTTTTGTTTCTATTGAGGAACTACCTCTCTATGGAGTCATTGCCCTCATGCTTGATTCATTTCTCCAGCGGGTTCGATCTGATATGTCCATTTCGAGCTAACTCCCTGGTTTACAATATCTCCAATAGGCGTGGGCAACAGCTCCCACGGCCGCTGTGTGTTATGTATGTCGTCCCATAGACCTTTCGAGCCCCCATTGGTCCTGAAATCCTTTCTGATATTCTTTGATGTCTGTAAAACCTCACGAATATGTCTTGCTTCAGTGTAGGGTTCGGGTAACCTGGAGGTTACCCGAACCCTACACTGAAGATTGATATAATAGTTGCCTAGAACTTAGGCCGACAATCTGCTCATGTTTGCTATAGATTCTATAGTATGCAGCTTTTCTTGTTTGCTTCGACCTTCTTACCCCTGCTTCGTAGGTTATCATCATCTTCGATCGCTTACTTGACGTCGTACGTTGATCTTGCAGGAAAGATGAGGGCTGGCAACTCTCACGTGGAGTTTATGCCTGTCTGGGGGTTGGATTACTCTTACTACTGGGAGCAATATCTGCCGTAATTGCCATGATAGATCCTTGGATGGTAAGTTGATTGATCATTTGCAAGTTTCCACAGATTTGGTGTCCGGTTGTATGTCTTCTGAAAGCAGGAATTGGCCAAGTTTGAGCGAAGAAGTTATACTGGTAAAGGAGTCTAAAGTCGTATGTGTATCTACCTTATTCTTATGATAAACTGTTCTTCTTTGACAGGTGGGAGTAGCGTTTCTCCTTTTTCTAATCATGATGGTCCTTACCATTGGAGTAGTCCATCATTGGGCTTCCCACAATTTTTATCTCACTCGTATGGAGACTATTTTAGTGTCTTTGGCAACATTTGTTCTGGCCTTGGCTGCGTTCCTGGTTGGATTGCTTGCAGGTGAGATTTCTTGAACCGGCTGGATTTGCTGTTCTACCCTTAGTGATGTTATTGCTTCAGAGGTACCTGCCTTCGTATTTTTTATTCCTTGTATCTGATATTAAGCTTCAAGATCTAAATGCATCTAAATGCAGATGAACCGTTTGTCGGCGCTTCTGTTGGGTACTTCGCGTTTCTCTTTCTCGTGGGTGGCAGATCTCTTACGGTAAGTTTTCAATCATCTTCAGCTTGTCTGTACTGCATGCTCCATTCTGAACTATGATGATTGAAATGAAGCATGAAATTATTATTTTCGATTTGTAAAAAAAGTGAAAGATTAGAAAATGACAGTTGATCAGGATTCTCAGTTGCTCAAAGACACTATGATTTCTGGTTTGGTTTACGGAAGGTTGTGTAGCTGCCATGGTTGTGAGCAAACTTTGATTCCTATCTTAAGCCTCTGCCCTGAGATGCTATGGACGATGCTGGACGACACTATGCGTGCGAAGGTATCCGTTGAATTGAAGAAGTGTGAGTTCAACATTATCTTGTTTCCATCTGCTGCAGGTGTTGTTATCACCACCAGTCGTTGTCTATTCTCCACGAGTTCTTCCGGTTTATGTTTATGATGCACACGCAGATTGTGCAAAAAATGTCAGGTGAGAATTATCTTACTGGAAGCTCTGTGCGACATTCTTGAAAGTCCGATTAAGGATGCATGGGTCGGATCTCGAAGCTGTAGGTCCGGGAGTTTAGATTTGCCGTTAATTTATCCCTCATGAATTAGTCGTTGGATTTTCCATACAGCGGAGCCTTTCTCGTGCTCTATGGAATTGCTCTTGGAACTGCTGGATGGGGCGTTGTTGCAAGCTTGGAGATCTATCCTCCCTTCGCTGGTGCTGCCGTATCGGCCACAACTCTGGTTGTGGCCTTCGGGTTTGCGATTTCTCGACCTCAATCTACACTGAAGGTGATGACAGAAAGTATTTCCTACAAATATAAGTGCTTCTTGTATCCACGCGTTGTCCAGAACGTTGTATTTTTCTCACAATTTGAAGCAGCTTAAGTCTTTTTCCTACATACTGATGATTGCATTTTCCCTGAACAGAGGATGGAGGACGCTTTGCATTTCTTGAAGAAGGATACTGTTGTCCAGGCTATAGCTCGTTCATCTACCAAGGTAAGTTCTTACTCTATTTCTTGTTCAATGTGTATGAGTTTGTGTTCATGAAGCTGAACATTTGGTTAACCTTATCATGTATTAAGTCGGTCTGCATTTCATATAGATTGATTTGTTTCATCGACGATTGGACGCAGACAAGAAACGCTTTGTCTGGGACATACTCCGCCCCTCAAAGGTCAGCGAGCTCCGCTGCATTATTGGTTGGAGACGCAGCTATGGCTCGAGATAAGGCGGGAAACTTTGTGCTTCCAAGAGCTGATGTGCTGAAGCTACGAGAGCGTTTACGAAACGAAGAATTAGCAGCTGGTTTATTCTGGTGCAAACCTGGTGTCGGCTTTATTCGACATGACTCCACCCTGGACGTCGGATACAGAAGAAAACTATGTGCCCATGCCCGAATTCTGGCTCTGGAAGAAGCCATCGATACGGAGTGGGTCTATATGTGGGACAAATTCGGTGGCTATCTGCTTCTAGTTCTTGGACTAGCTGCGCGTGCAGAACGTGTACAGGTAGGTTATGTGATACAGGTGTAAATGTGATACACATGGCTTTTCTTGTTGAATGCTTTAGTGGCAGTATTAACTGGAGAAAGGTGGCGTGTTTAAATTTTGCAGGATGAAGTCCGCCTGCGACTGTTTCTGGACAGTATTGGATCATCTGATCTAAGCGCGAAAGAGATTAAAAAATGGACAACAGAGGATAGAAAGCGATTTGAAATGGTGCAAGAAGAGTAAGACCTTACTCTGGATACTTATTGTGGCTGTATATGTAATGTTATGATTGCGTTCAGGACCTTCATCATTCAAAGTTGACCCTCTTCCCTCCAGTAAAATATGATGTATGTAGTTCGAGACTGAATACGTATCGCTGTTGTAGTTACTTGCGAGAGAAAGAAATGGAAGAGGAGTTGATGCAACAACGTCGTGAAGAAGAAGGAAAAGGAAAGGAACGAAGAAAAGCTTTGTTGGAGAAAGAAGAACGAAGGCGCCGAGAAATGGAAGCGTCAGTTATTGCATCGGTCCCAGATATAGGCTCTAAAGAGGCGGCAGCGATGGCGGCTGCTGTCCGGGCTGTGGGTGGTGATGTCCTGTTTGACGAAAGCAAAGCGGTAGATCAGGTTTCAAGTATTGCTCGACGATATTTCGTGGCGCAAAGAGCTCGACGAGCACAGGAGGTATTTCAAAGAAGAGTGAAACCTCGAGACTTGTCGTTATGAAAGATGAAATTCCTTGTATAAGCTGAAGGGGTTTCAAGAAAGCTCCGAAGCTTCTCCTTTTCAATTACATTCATGACTAACTGCTTCTCTGCCAATCTTTTTGCAAAAATTAGTAGGCAGGTTCGTAAAAAATCAAGAAGTCAAGTTTCTGTTCTTCCTACACAAGTTGCGGCAACTGAGGATGCAGGAATTGTCTTGTGCTTGCTGCACAGACTGGTGTAGCAGGAGCTCAGTGTATAATCGACGATGAGCCACGGTCAGTGCCAAGGCCATGTGGTGTCCTTGATCCTTCTCTTTGCGGGAGTCGGAAAGTAACCTTCTCAGCGGCTGTCCTGGTTCAGCCCGAATCGGGTCCAATTTGCTTGATGGGATCAGAAGCTCAGCAACGTATTTGCTGGGAGATCTTTATTGCTGGAGCTGAAGAAGGTTTAGAGGCTGGACAAGTTGGACTCCGTCTTGTGGTCAAAGGTGCAGGGCAAACTACTTCTGTCAAAGATTGGAACATTGGCAATACTTGCCTTCATGATGGCAGGTGAGATGAATCAGTGCAATGCTAATACTGGATCCTTTTATTTACTCTCGGTACTTTCGGTCCATTCGTCATCTCCATGGGTACTTTTGGCGCTTCGTTTGAAAGCCTTCTAACGCTCAGCACGCTATTTCAGATGGCATACTGTGACGGTGACGCTCGATGCGGATGTTGGAGAAGCAGCTGCATACTTGGACGGTCATTTTGACGGGGATGTTTTACTAGATAACTTGAATGGCTTGCAATTACCTGCTGAGAAGGGCATTTGGGAGGAGGGCACAGAGGTTTGGGTGGGAATACGACCACCCATGGACTTAGATGCGTTCGGAAGGTCTGACAGCGAGGGGAACGATTCAAGGATGCATGTCATGGACGTGTTTTTGTGGGGAAGACTGCTGACAGAAGACGAGATAGCGGCTGTTCACCAGAGTTGCAGTACCAGTGCAGAGGAATACAATGACCACAATCTTCCAGATGATGACTGGCGGGGGTCACCAGTTGAATCACCGGTGAGGATTTAGATATGCCATCTATCAAAGATCTTCGCTGCAAGAGCAAGAGGTTGACGCTACTGTGTCACCATGATGTTTCATCTGATTCTTAGCTCATCCTCGCTGTATTTTTATGTATTTTTATCTTATACCCGCTGATTTACGTCTTGCAATTTTCCAGCTGGAGGATTGGGGTTATGAGGCGTCGGATCTTGACTTGTACGATCGAGACGAGCTTTACTGGGACGATCAACCTGCTAATGGCAGGAAAAGGAAGGCTGAGAAAGATACGATGGCGATTGACATGGATTATATATCGAGAAAGATGAGAAGACCAAAGATTGAAACTCAGGATGAAGTGACCCAGAGGATGCGTGCTGTGGAGTTAGCTGTCAAAGAAGCTTTGGCTGCTCGTGGCGAGACTCACTTCACTGATCAGGAATTTCCACCAACCAATCATTCACTTCATGTGGATCCTGACCATCCGATGCCAAAGCTGCAGGTGCGGTATTTTAGATCGTTGTTTTCTCTATTTTACGTGGGAATCTTGAAACTTCGGACTGTTTCCTAGCAAACCCATTCTCCAACCGACGCTAAACGCCGGTATCACTATTCTTTGTCGAATTTCCTGAAAACCTAATTACGTCTATTTCCTTAATGAAATGTTTTAAAGAAATCAATCGAACTATGCGATGAAACAGTGCCGGATAGGCAGTTTGCTGTACTTATGCTTACTTTTCTGGAAGCCTTTTCGTGTCTTCAAGGTTTTTTTCTGATGTCTTTCCTCAGGTTGTGAGAGAGTGGCTACGCCCTGGTGCAGCAGTGAGGAATGCAAGCCCTGTCTCTCCTCCTTGCTTGTTTTCAGGCCCTGCAAACGCTTCTGACGTGTGCCAGGTATCTTCCAACTTCTACACTTCTACTGCTCTAGATTATCAGCCAGGGCTGTGTAAATCCAACGTGTTATGCTTGGGGGCAGAATCTTATAGTGCTCACCCGTGGGTCTGTAGCTATTGGATTGTGTAAGCTTCAACTCATGTTCTTTTTGGTCATCATCTCATATTCTACTGGTTACGACAGGGCCGATTGGGTGACTGCTGGTTCCTCAGCGCTGTGGCAGTTTTAACAGAGGCATCTAAAATTGCCGAAGTGATCATTACTCCTGAATTTAACGAGGAGGGAATATACACAGTCCGGTTTTGTATCCAGGTCCTAACTCACCTAAAGCCAGAACTTGCTTTTTGTCGAGATTGTATCTGTGAGCACGCCCGATGTCTTTTTTGAATGATGTAGCAAATCTGTGGTATTGTATGCTGATCATGACATACATTGTATGTAGATGGCTGAAAAGCTCTGGGTTGTCGTAGAGGTTACTAACTTTGAGTTCACGTTTCAGGGTGAATGGGTTCCCGTCGTCGTTGATGACTGGATTCCGTGTGAAGCTCGTGGAAAACCTGCCTTCGCTACCAGTAGAAAGGGCAATGAACTGTGGGTTTCTATCCTTGAGAAGGCCTACGCCAAGCTGCACGGATCGTATGAAGCGTTAGACGCAGGTGTAGTACAAGACGCCCTCGTGGACTTGACAGGTGGTGCAGGAGAGGAAATTGATATGACGAGCCCACAAGCTCAGCTAGATCTCGCCAGTGGAAGACTCTGGACCCAGCTTGTGCGCTTCAAGCAGGAAGGATTCCTTCTTGGAGCGGGTAGTCCTTCCGGTTCAGACGCACATGTCTCCTCAAGTGGAATTGTGCAAGGGCATGCCTATTCTCTGCTACAGGTGAAAGTTAAGCTGAATATTTGACAAAAGGTTGCACGGTATATTAGTATAGTTCTTTCGCTCTTTGGTACGCAAAATTTCGCGTCCTTGTAATAGTGCCAACTTGTGACTTACGTGATAGTTGCAAGATTCTGAGTTATTTACTTTTTGTTCGATTCTTGATACCGAAGGTTTGCGAAGTCGACGGGCACAAGCTCGTGCAAATTCGAAATCCGTGGGCAAATGATGTGGAGTGGAACGGTCCTTGGTCTGATCTGTCTGCCGAGTGGACGGATAGGATGAAGCACAAACTTAAGTACACACCTCAGGTATATTTACTTTCCAGGGGTTCGAAAAGTAGATTGTCGATTGTAATCACGCGTATCATTGGGCTTCGATTGGAACCTTGTCTATGGAGATAGTTGATCAGTGTCTTTTAGTCGGTAACGAAACGCAATCGAATGTTTCTGTTCGACTCAGGCAGCAGATGGCGTCTTTTGGATGTCATGGCAAGACTTCCAGCTTCATTTTCGTTCTCTCTACGTTTGTCGGATATATCCTCCTGAAATGAGGTATTCGGTGAGAGGACAGTGGCGCGCTTCGTCTGCCGGTGGATGTCAAGACTACGAAACGTGGCACCAAAATCCTCAATTCCATCTGAAGGCCGTTGGCCCAGACGCTCGACTACCAATCCATGTATTTATTACCCTTACGCAGGTAATAATATCAGTCCACACCTGGTCAACAATGGTCGCATATAGCAGTACATGGCATTTAAGAAACTTGTGCTATGTTCTATATGGCGTCTTGACCCGTTCTCCACTCATTCGTTTTTCAGGGTGTAGGCTACTCCTCAAGAAGCCGGCCGGGCTACAGGAACGTGCAGTCGGGTGGCGACTCTTCGTTGTTTTATATTGGAATGAGAATCATCAAAACGTTAGGAAGGCGATCGGGTCCGAATATCTACATGCACGAGGCTGTTACAGGGACCGATTATGTAAATACGCGGGAGATTCCATGTGAAATTGTTTTGGCGCCTGATCCTGATGGGTACACAATAGTTCCCACCACCTACGCTCCCGGTCAAGAATGCCATTTTACGCTGTCGGTGTTCACGAAGGCTGCTATTACTCTTGAACCCCTATAACATTTGGCGGAGGGTTGATTGGCATTGTTAGGATCGAGACCTTGGACTCTTTGAGACCAGTTACACACCAGTGTAATTAGTTGTTCATAAGGGGGACTTTGGACTCAACAACACGTGCAAGGGCTGCCTGTGATGCAGGTAATTGTTTCATTCAGTTATTTGGTGATTTTCTGATTCTTTGCCTTCAAATGAAGGAACTTTTACGTACCGAGAGTTCAGTATCGATGGTCCTTCCATCTTTGAGAGATGAAGAGAGGCTGAGCTTTGAAGTTACTGTTATTGCAGGGAACCACCTCATTGAAAAGACATCTCACTGCTGCAATATGAAGCGGTCTCGGAAGCTTTTAAACTTTGCAAAGTACGCGCTCATTCTTGCGACTTCTTTTGAAATACTGCAGAGTAAAATTAGCTTCGTATTTTTCGCCCAACATAAGATATGAGCTGCAATGTGACCTATGGCTTTTTGGCTACCAAGTCATCTTTATTCAACTACGCTCATTATGCGATTTTCGTTCGGTTTTCCATGTCCTCAGCGTGCTTTGCCTTTGGTACTGAGGAACTATCCTGTGTATTCATTCCTGCAGGAGGATGATGTCGATCACCTGGGTTAAAAGACAATACAGGCTGCACGAGAGCTTTTTGTAGAGGAATGGACTTCTGTTGTTGCTCCCTTTGTAAATCATCATGTTATCAGGATGCTTCTGAAGTAAAGCTCTCTTTGAGAAGGGCCGCAACTGAAAGTGCATTTGATGATTAAAGAGCTTTTAAGAGTCAAATGGTCCAGCTAGAGAAGCGAGTTGTATTAGTCACTGACTTTGACACGCTGTACAGCAGTCACAGTTTGGACTCTATCACTATCCATCGAATATGTTTCGTCCCAATATATGAAGCAAGCGTCAGTTTGCGGATCGATGCTCATCCTTCCCGATACACACAACTGGGCACCTTATCTAGTAGCTTCTTGGAGAATTGAGTGCTTGTGTGCGAGGACTGAAATTTTTATGATTTGTGTCATTTAGCCTTCACCTCGTCGTTTCACGAAATGGCAGTCTCCATCTCTCACCGCATTTGTGGAGATCGTCTTTGCAATCAACCTCCACAAGTGTTCTACATCCATATGTCTTGGAGGGCTCGGCAGGCTGGAGGGAAGTTTTCTTTCAGCTCTGTCGTGTTCCTCGTATATGTACAAATATTTTAACACGTCCCTGTATCCATCAGTGGCGAGTATCGTGGTCATTTATTGCCGAATGCAATAATTTTGATCAATAAGAATGAATAATCCAGCAGAGTGACGAGGAACTGCATCTGGAATGGCAAGGATCTCGTCCTCTTGACGAGTGTGTAGAGGTGGAAGTGGTCTGTGGAGTGGAAAGCCCGACAACCCCGCATAAGAAATATTTCGGAAGAACTTTTACTCCGAGTTAAAAATTGAAGAGTAGAGCACTCAAGTAAAGCAAACTTGTGCAGATAAAATCATTCCAGCCAAGCCTTCAACGTATCTAATCTGCATCTGACACCGACGCACTTAGTGACGTTTGGTCGTCGTGAGGCGCACAAGAACGAGGTGGATAACTACATCGCGAAGACTCCTTTCAGCCAGGTCCGATATGGTGCTGCGTGATTCGTCTGCCGTCGCAATGGTGGGATACTGCTGATTCCGTTGGGAAACCGTTGCCAACGAGGAGTCTGACCATAAGCGGAGGTGCCGAGGAGAAAGCTTACGGCACAGGTGGTGAATGCATGATCTTACAGGTTTAACGGAAACGATGAAAACTTTTGCCGACGCCAATGAATTCTGATTGACGTTTTGGTCAAAGGAGTATCTAAATCTTCTTCTCAGACCACGAGTTGGTTTTCTGAATGCGCTTGCCGAAGCTGTGGTAGCTAATTTCTCCAGAGAGGTTGTCATTTCGCAAATGAAAGCTGAGAATGGTCATGAAGTACTGTCACCTTGCCCCAAATTTTGACCCAGGAGTGACCAAGGAGTGTCTGTCAAAATCACCACTTTTCGAAATATGAATGCAGGCTTTAACCTCCAGAAATTGGGAAATGTTCAACATTGATGGAATCCCAAACTGAAATGTGCAGACTGTTGGTAAGGCAGTTGAGACAATCTGAGATAATTTAGTTTTGCATTGGACATTAATTTGTTGTTCATGAAATCTATTTGTAAGGTAGAAACGTAATCAATGAAGAAAACCATATTGATCCATGACTTTTTGGATCCGATTGCTTTTCAGCAAAGAATAATGAGAGTGACATATTATACTTTTGTGGAAGGGTATATTGAAATGTCCCAATGGATTGCAAGTATACTCTAGAAAACCTTGCATAAATTTAATGTAAAATGTGATATGTACAATCGGAGCTAATTAAGTTTCAATAATAAGCTATACTCAACATTATCAATTGTAATAAGCACTTATTTTTTTTTCCAGTCTTTTATAAAATAGATAAGTAGGTTGTAGATTCATATTGTCTTCAAACTTATTGAGGAGAGAAGCATCAAGAAATCTTATAAAGACTATAGGGAAAGGTTTCTTTTTCTTTTTTACGTAGTATTCAAACATTTTGATTGAACATATACTGCATTTGGTAATGTTTGATATAATAAAAACTATGGAATCCCCGAGATTCCAAATCAACAACAGCTTCAATGAAACGAAGTAAGTACCAATGACCATCATATATGAAAAAATGGAGCTCCTTCCACAAGGTTAAACTAAGTAAAAGGGGATAAATGACTATCAAATACCAATCGGTAGTTGAATATGTGGCTGTATTCTACACATTTCCGAGGTGATATTAAAAAATGACGTCATAAAAACAATTGGAAAATTGAGTCATATTAATGGTTGTGACAAAGTGTTTTTGGTAAAGTAAAGTAAAGAGCTTTAGATTCTGAAAGAAAACAACATGTTTCTGCAAGAAGAATAACATGCGGGGTTTTGCTTCTTACATCCAATTTTTCTTGTAGGAAGATTTTTTGCATCCTATGCATACACTTCCAACTTGTATGCTTACAACTAGTACCCCATACTTGATCACATGGAACACTAAGCTTTGATATTAGAATATCCTAAGATTTCTAGACACAAGATGAAATTTTTTTTATCTATTTAAAAATGAATCTGGAGGTTTGTAACCCGTTTCTTCTCTCTTTTGCATGCAAAGTGTTTAACTATAAATTAGTATAATCGATGTCTAGATATTTCTTCATTTGTTCCAATCGTAGATCTTGTGAAAGAACAAGATTTTGGATTTAGTTTCCACTATAATGACCTTAGATTTCTTCATATTTAACTCTATCTAATTTGAGTACAAAAAGTTGCCAAATGTTGGGATGTTTTTGTAAACCAATGTATCACGTGATAGTTATATGATATCATCTGAATACGATAAAGCTTTGATGACAAAGTTCTAAGCTTGACATCTTCACAATCTCATTTGTCAAACTAATGTTTCATATCATCTATGCAAATTCCAAATAAGAGAGAGTAGAGTATACAAACTTGAATGACTCCGATGGTATTCAAGGATATATTGAGTCTGTGAGTAGTTGATCTTGATACAAATGAAATGTCATAACGTGTACACATTTGCTAGGAGATTTGATGGTATTCAAATGACTTTCAACCTTTCCCATAGAAGATTACAATGTACAATATGAAAAGCTTTCTTGAAATTGATGCGGCCACAAACAATTCTTTTCCTTTATTATAGATTTTTCTTGTAAACACTTAAGACCGATGATTGATGGTGTTGTATGTTGGATAAAAACCATCTTGAAACCGAGCTCTCTTTTTGAAAAGATTATGTCCATGTGGTCAACTTGAACTTCATCAATTTTTGAAACAATTTAACAAAAATAATACTTGCCATGATAGTGCAATAATTTGTCATCAAGTAGTTAATGAGCCGACTTTAGATATTCAAATTTTTATCAACTGATCTTATGCTTACAAAGGCAAATAAGCCATTACAAGACAACCTCATAACACTTCTGTAGTTATGCTGTGGAAAAAAACTTAGAAGTTGTATTTTTGAGCAATTTAATAAATTGCAAACTTGCCATGTATGGATTCTGGACTTTGTAAAATGCGGATGAAGAGTTCTTGTAAATGTAGTGTATTAAGGCTTTTTCTACAAGGATTTAAGCGAAAGTTGATAAAAGCTAAAATAGATTGATATATCAAGAGAGGAATTGCCTTAGACAATAAGAGAGTAAAGAAAGATGGGCGTGATCGAGTTCAGGCTGAATATCTAGAATAATATCAAATGTAAAAATAAAAGAGCTATCAGCGAACGAGTAGAGATAATAATAGATGGTGCTAGCGCGGATATAAGAAAAATAATTATTGGAGTGAAAGTTGGAAAAGTGAGAATATCCATTCAGAACTTTAATTTTCCAAGTTACTCTGAAGGTTTAAAAAATGCTATGTCAAAGAGACCAATCTAAGGAGATTATGGATCACAAACTATATTCATGTTTTTTTAGTAAAAAATCACTGAATTGGATAAATCAAATAGTATGTGCATTGAAATCCTCCACTAGAAAGATTTTACTTTCACTCTGATATTTGAAAATTTTTCCCATGAGACAATCTTCCGATTGTGATCATGTTGGTGACAACATTGTATTATAATGAATATTTGGTCGGATCATGATCATGCATTTTTTTAACTAACATACTCATACATATGAATCATATACAAATTGGAAATTTTCTGTTGAAGTATTGGTAATGTAAAATGAAAAATATCAAGTATGGTTCCAAAAATCACATAGATCAATTATTTGTAATATGTGTTGAAATTTATGATCATCACAATATGAATGCACAAATTTAATATCACTTCAGTTGATAAAATAAATTTAAATATATGATTTGTTTAATCATTTAAGTCCTAAATATATAAGAGGTTTTAAAGTCTTCAATGTGATCGCATTAGTGATTTGATGAAAATTGTGGATGAGTTTAATTTGAAGTAAGATACTATGATGATTGTAAATATTACAATCAAAATGTTTCAAAAAAGTACAAGACTCTAATATTGTATGAAACATGTAATTAAATAATTAATTTTTATTCATAAGCAACAAAGATAATGTGATTAGTTTTAAAATCAAACTTTATGATGGGTAATATATGCTTATATTAAGAACTTGACAAATCAAAAATAGTAAATACTAAATTTCCTAATCTAATTTTATATTCAAAAATCTAAGAGTAAACTGGCTTACATAATATAGCTATGCATGATGGCATTAGAGATATGAAATTTTCGAGAGTATGGATACCTCATATGAGGAAACTTTGATATGTGTGGCTAGCGACGGTGTGTGACAATTATGGGTGTCAGGTTATGCTCTGACATTCATATCTAGAGATGCAATAGAGTGTAAAGTCAGATTTATATTTGGCTCAAGATTAGCAAGTTACAAGTGCAGATATGTTGGTTATAATAACCACTTTCATGTTCGAGCGGCAAGTGTGTGGCGATAACAGTAAAGTTTTCCAAGTATAAGGAATTGCCTAAAGGTCATCTACATGAGTTATCTGGAATTATGATGAGAACTTCAAGATGTTCGTGAAGTATGTTGCTACTAAAGAACATGTCATATGAAGTTAGCTAGGTTTTCTAGTTTATTTCAGACAAAGACATTTCAATATTCTATAGAGTACAGTCAGTGTGGCTATACACATAACAGAGCAATCCGATCATGTGATGTAATATCTGAATTTCATGTTGTTTGTAGATAGTATGGTGTTTATCATTCAGATTTAGTAAGTGTTAGAAGACATTTATCTTATCGCGATACTATTGGAACCTAGCACCAAGTCTCATGTTGATTTTGTAACTCGTTCCACTTGATGACTATTACCTTAACATTGTATATCTATGTGATCACCTTACTCTAAACGTTTTTCTACAAACTTTTGTACAGGTTCTAAAAGTAAGCTGCACATTACTAACATATGATGCTTATGTTTTTCCAGTCACTATTTGTTAATTATCACACTTAGAACATAACTTCAATCGTGTATGATTGAGCTTGGAAAAACATTAACAATTAACGATATATACGTGGTACGGATGTTGATATTGGAATCATTTGTTTTTTGTTTCGTTTTTAATTTCCGTTTTTTATGTAAAGTTCTCTTCATCTGATACAATCATGATTTGTCACATGTATTTTTTCCGTTTCGTAGAATGTACTTTTCACAAGATAAACATATGTCACTCTCGGTGTCATTCTGATCTTTTCTTGTTAAGGAACTCTAGCCATGAAATGAAGAGAAAATGGAAAGAACAGACCCTGGAGGTAAGACGGATAGAATTACAGAGATTTTGTTCAGGGCTGCACACGTTCACTTCTCAATGACCTTCATCGGTTGCAAAAATGCAGTGCAGCGGCATCTGTACGATTTCAGGATGAAAGTATTCGCAAACGGACATCGATTATAGTTTGATTACACATCGAATTCTGTTTACTTCGGGTGAATGTGCCGCGCACTGAATGTGCGCATGAAGCAACCGACTCCGGCTTAATCAGCAATCTTAATATCATGGCTGCTTCCTAGTAATCCAGCACCGTGCACGTTCGACACAGTTGTCAAAATGAGTGATGGCTTTTACTTCCTCGATTGTTCATTGATTTGTCGATCTTTTTCCCTGCAGGCTTCTCCATTACAAAGGAGCCGGGTTTATCCTGGGCTTATCGGGCGGTCGACTGTGCCGATGCCGGGGCCGCAATAGAGAAGATAAAGATCGCCCTTTCCATTAATCTGTGGAAGGTGGCACAAATTTCTGCCAAAACAAATCCGTTCCAAGTTTCTTGCGCTCGGTAGTGCCGCCAACAAAAATTGCTAGGACTGCGAGAACTTTAGACATCGGCACTTGATGCCAGATAGACAATCGATATTTCAATCTTCACAAAGTGACAGACATCGAAGGATGCAGCGTTGAGTACGAACAAAGAATACCAGACAGGAATCATGCCAATGCCACGCTCTATGCCGAAATCAATGTCATTGAGAAAATCAATCCGGAGTAGACGGGACACGACATTCACTTTGACCATGGAGAAACTTATCAAGGTTTCACCCTTATCTACAAATGCACTGACTCTCGTACAACGTGCACTGCTCGAATCTCTGTGAGCTTCCAAACGAATTCGTCGAGTCCGCCCCAAGAAGAAGAAGAGAGCCACAAAGCTCGTCACTCTTCGTCAATCATGTCGACAGTGCTGAGGGAGTTGGATCCCAGAGCGTGTGTCGCAACGGCGGTGTTGATGGCTTGGACGACGGCGTCGCTATTTCTTCCCAGGGCTTCGTCCAGCGGCGTGCGGTCGTGTTTGTTCACGGCAGACGCATCGGAGCCCTGGGCGATGAGCTGCTCGACGACGGCGACGTGACAGTTGACGGCGGCGTAGTGCAGCGGCGTGTTGTCCTCGGCGTTTTTTGAATTCACGTCCGCGCCCTGGGCGATCAAGAACTGCACGACCGGCAAGTGCCCGTTGGCGCTCGCCATGTGCAGCGCCGTGCGCCCCTGCTCGTCCGACGAGTCGACGATGATCCCTCGCGCTACAATTGCTTGCAGATCCTCCAGGTCGCCATACCTCGCAGCCTCCAGAAATTCCCTCGTCTGCTCGTCCGTCGGCAGGGCTTCGGGCGTCCCGTTCGGCAGAGGCACCGTCATGAAGGCTGCTTACCCTGCGGGGCACTCTTGAGCTCTTGCCCGGATTGGGCACGAAGGTAATCGACCTTGAGGGCCACTCCTCAAGTACAGTTCAGTGGATGAGCCGTGCTGGAGCAGCACTCCCCGGTTTCTGGTCGCGAGCAGAAGGGAGCGACGTCAATTCCCCTCAGGCCTGCCCCAGGACAAAATGTCTCCCCCAGCGAGTTACGAGATCGAGCTCTGAGCCCCGGCAGACCGAGTGAACGAGAGTGATTGAGAAGGCACTGGCGCCACTCTGCAAATTCACCATGATGCAGGTTCACCGTGGACGTCACTTCAGTCGGCAGAAGATTGGGGAGGATTTGCTTTCTGCTGCACTCAAAGAGCCCTCGTGTTGGGGTCTCGGGTCTCGAGTGCTTAGGGTTGTTGGAAGCTTCCTCAGTCCATTGGCATTGGTGGGTCAGGTGTTTTCGATCCAAAATCTTCTCTGTACACATCCTGAAAAGATGCCAAGTTATTATACGAAGCCGTTGGTTGACCTCTGGTCGGAGGTTCATACCCAAATCTAGTTTTAATTAGTTTCAGATAGTTCATGCACTCATGTCCCACCCCCAATTTCTCGCATTAAAAAATGGGTTTATTTCCCACGCGTAGGGTTTTCGTTACTAACTATTCATCAATTACTACATCATCTTTGGGCTCAATTCTGAAATAATATTCATAATTAGTATCGAATATTTAATAAAATCAGATTTTCCTAAAATCATCGGAAAATTTCGGTGGTACCTACAATGCTTCTCGATAGTTTTTGCTCATTCATTTTCCTTTTGTCAATTTTGCTTTTTCACTCTATCACTTTTCCAATGAATATAAATAAAAGTAAATACGAGTTGATGTCATTATTCTTTTCGACGTTTAGTACATGTACCACCATCAGAAAGAGAAAAAAAAAGTTGAACACTAGATCGCCGGCGTTTGCAACTTCCTGCGCAATCGACGTCCGCTGCTGCTTATTGGTGCTGCACATTCGAGTTGCGCTGCTGCTTATTGGAGCTGCGGGCGTGGGACGTGCTATCATCTGCCTGTGAGGGTGGAACCATGGCACCACCTGCGCTGAAGGAAAGTCCGCTGCCAGATACTCCAATCTCGACTGTCTTGCTGGTCATTGGTACGTTCCTTCTTTCTCAGCAATGTATGTGAAATCCGGAGTTGTAGAAATTGCTGCCTGTGCAGTTGGTGCTCCCTGCCTCCCCATTCTCGCTGGTCGCCGTGGTTTCCCTTTTTCTTTTCTCGAGCGATTCGCACCGTGGCCCAAAGACTCCGTGTCTTCCTCTGATTGATGTATATTATAAGAAATCGCTCGAGAGATTAGGAACTCCTCTCCGTTCTCTGAAAGGGCCTAGCAGGAGGCGGGGGTCTGCTTGATCACTACAATCGTCAGAGTACACTACACGTTGTTCTCTTCCTTCTCACCTTTTACATGTAACGTCCTCAGCAAATTCAGGAGCCCTTTCTTCAAATTCCAAATTGCGGTTGTGTTTTGTTACTTGTGAATTGCTTTATTCTGTGCTGAGTCATATTTCTTCGCTAAGCATGAAACTGACTGTCAACATGGAGGTTGATCTTGCTTAACAGTATCGAGATTGCATCTTCATAAAATCCTGCACCGTTAGCTTTGCAAATATTCTAGCTTGATTCAAACCGCGACAACAGACTTGTTGGCCTCTAGTTCGATGCTGTTGTGAAGAAGTTTCGACAAAGTTGAGACTTGGAGACACCGACGCGAGGTTCGTGATGTGGCAAGGAGAATGTCCATAAGAATATCTTCGTAGAATTAATATGCTTTCATCAACGTGAAACGTAGAACTGGGATCCAATTAAGTCCTCAATTTTCAAAGCTAAGGGCCAAATCTGCCCAATATAGGCCCAAGCCATCTGCTACAAAAAACTGTTGTAAGATTTTGTGTTAAAGGTAGGGTGTTTGCTTCTCTTAAGGCAGACTGAAGCCACGAATGTGTGGAAGAAAATTTGCGAAGAATGACTCGGCCAATGAAGTGTTAACAACAGTCTTGACACCCTAATCAAGAAGTGATTTAGTTTCCAATTATGAAACTGAGTTATTGACCTTACCGAGGTGTTTTGTGAAACATTCCAGCACTGCACGCAGAAGCGGCTCCCCTGGTGGCAGATTTGCGCCTCACCCAGGACTCACAGGCAGTGTATGTTGACTACATGTTACGGCTGTGTGCTTGCTTTGCTAATGCTGTCAAGAATTCGTTGTGCCTGCTTAGACATTCTTTGAGAGGGTGGAAGCAGGCATCTCATAGGCTGAAAGTAAAAGTCAGGAAGCTAAAGCTTTCATACTTCCCCACTTAAAGTTGACTCAAGCCTAGCTAGTCACCTTTGTCTAATTGAGAAAACACTGTCGGATGCGTATTGAATGATTGCATTTATTAAAAATGGTTTTTATCCTTAATCGAAGGCTGTTCTCCCCAGATTTCCTGAAGGTGTGCCGTGGGTAAAATACTCTGGGACGTACGAGGGTCTCAATGTGCACATCGTTACCCCAGGAAAAGACGGCATTCATGGTAAGTGTCTGTGTGAACAAATTCAAGTCGGGAAACGCTACTTTGTTAGCTTGCAATATCGTCGTTGCTGGCTGTAGAGCAATGAAGCTGATGGGGCTGACTCAGTTTCGTTGCAGGTTGTGACCCTGTTGGAACAGTGCCAGCATCATTGTTGACGTTTAATAGTATCCAAGTTCTGAAACCAGATCTTATTATCAACTGCGGAACAGCGGGTGGCTTTCAAGTGAGATTTCATATTTCTTCTTTCAAGAATTTTGTTAATGGGGTCGCTGTTGAGGGCTGTAAGATAGGGCGCGGCATTTGAGACGTTCAGTGAGCTTTTTACTGACTCCAGGCATCGTTTGAAGCTGGTCATCATAATCATCTTCAAGCTGTCATTCAACATCTCATCATCAACGAGTTTTTTGTATTTTCGGAGTCTATGTCAAAATGCATGCGTTCAAATCCTGTTACGGCATTATCATCATCATATTAATTTTTTTTTCTTTCTACAAAGCATGGCACTTCCAGGTCTTATCTTATAAATTAGCTTGTTTTGTATATTGTTGTAATCAGCAAAGAGACTGCGACACAAGGACCTGAATTGAGGTCGAAAATCTAAAAGTAGTACTGCGCGTCATGACACTCATGCTCCATGACCACTCACTTTCTCGTTGATTGCTCTTGCGATATAACCCTCACCTACGGTATTTTCGGTGCTGCTTAACTGTGTTGCATAACTTTCTCCACCGAAGTTTATTTTTCAATCTTACTTTTCATTTTTTTTTTTGTTCAAATGAGGTTTTTGGTAATCAAACTATTGATAGACACTTTTTTTCCTAACTGCAGGCGAAAGGAGCTGCAATAGCCGATGTTTACCTGATTTCAGAGACTGCTTTCCATGATAGAAGAAACTCTATACCAGTACAGTTTCAACCCTTTGCCTTACTGTCCATCGGTTGTGTGGAGCTTGAGGGAATTACGTTTCTTCGCTTATTCTAAATAAACTGCTCTTAGATACATGCAGTATTGTTTAAGCTTAACCCCTGGAGATTTCCCCTCTCAAGTCACTCAATGTGACCTGATTTGTGCAGGGGTATCGTGAGTATGGAGTCGGAGCCTTGGAAGCAACACCTGTGCCGAAACTAATTTCCGCGCTCCAATTGAAGGTGGTCCAAGAAAGTCAAGAGTCAAAGGGGCGCATGACCTTGCATGATTTAGAAGAAGTTTTGTAATGATTTGCACCATTGGAAGGAATAATGATATGAGTTGTACTTGATGTGTATGTGCAGACGGGTGTGTTGACAACTGGCGATTCCCTTGACCACGTCCCAGAAGATGTTGTAATTATGAAAGCCAACGATGCCACAGTGAAGGACATGGAGGTCTGCCCTTTATACATGCCTTTTGGGGTAACTGTGTTTTTCCCAGATAGGTGGTGAATGTTTCAATGCGACTATGTCATTTCCAGAAGATAATTTTGTTGAAGCTCACCACTAGTGAGCTCACTTGGATATTTTATGCAATTGTTCGCGCAGGGTGCTGCAATCGCCTATGTCGCACATCTGTTATCAGTGCCGTTGATCATGTTGAAGGGTGTTACCGACATAGTTGACAGTCCAGCGGCCACAGATGAGGAGTTTTTGGCAAACTTGAGTCTAACGGCACATGCCATCCAGCGAACGGTGTCTAAGGCTCTGCAGTTTATAAGTGGCAAGAAACTTAGTGATTTGCAATGATCTAATGACCCCGTCCTTGGGACATCCTGTGCGAGGAAATTTCTGAAGAGGCCTATACACAGTCTGTTTATCAACCTGATCTGCTGACAGCATTTCCAGCTGCATGAAGCTTCTGGTCCGGCTTCAAGTATGAATATGTAATAATGTAAGCCCATGTTCATGGTCTTTACATAAGCAAATTTAGGACCTACAATTTTTCTTGTACAGTGTCACATGACACCTACAGTAGTGATTTAGGATCTTGTGGACCGCAGGCTCTGTCTAAGCATGAGTGCTAGGCTTTCCCTCGTTATTAGGCACGGTCAAGCAGATTTTGCAGATCGTCATGATAAATACGAGAGGAATCAAATTGTGAACTTGTTCGGAAGAGGTCCGCTGAACCTCTCACCTGATTATCAAATTTGAGGCTTCAGTACGACACTTTGTGCGAAAGTTTGCAGTTCGATTGGAGTTGAAGACAAATATATGACAGATCTTACTTGGAGAAATGTAGCGGACCTTTTACCTGATATAATATACTTTGAGCTCTGATCCACAAGGGATTGAAAATGCTCACTTTTTGAAAGAATATCTAGGGACGTATTGTCGCATAACTCGGAAGCATGCGGACATTGTAAGGAGCACTGCCACAGCATATAGTACCATGAAGACCGGATGAGCGCACGCACGCTGAAGACCCCATAAGAACTTCAGAACATACTAATTTACGCCTTTACCTGAAAAAGGCAAGGCAGTAATTGAACTAAAGGTATGTTGCCCATGAAATGCACTCTAAATGCTTAAGAAAAGTCACATTTGCCCATCGTCTAAACTAACCCTAAATGAAGGTCTACTCTATCTTAGTTTAATTTAGGCTGGATCATGCCTCATTTGCATTTTTTATTTGAGTCATGCCCGTATGTATAAAAAAGTATACGTATATTCGTATGTTGTAAATGATACGGGTTGACAGCGGGTTACAACGTTTCTATAATTGACGTCTGTTTGCACTTTCATTTTACGAAGTGATTTTTTGGTTTCATTGTTTTGTTAGATCGAAAAGGTATATACACAATATACCTTTTCGTCAAAGATATATTCCGTATAAAGTGCGATGCTTTATAAGTGATGGATGTTGCAGTGGTTTCATGATGAAGTATAGAGATGTTTTGTCATCCGAGAAGAGGAAATCTGAAGAACCCCAAGCCCAAGAAGGGGCTACATATTGTGAAAAAGAAATCCAAAAATACCTGGCGGGGAGCCCCCACCAGAAAAATCCTAGGTCCGCCATTGCTTGGAACTGAAGGATTTTCCATGTATGCGCAACGCTGTTTTTGTGTCGGATGTAGATAGATATTCCGGCTTTATTACCTTCAGCAAATGAATAGGATGTCTAGCATGGGGAACTATATTTGTTTGAGGCTTGGACGATCTCCATTAAACTAGATTTAGATGATTTTTATCTTCAAAATTTCTGTATTATATCTTATGTCGAAAGTCACCGGTAACAGTTGTATGCACTTTCAATTTTCGAAGCAGATTTCGGATGTCATTGTTTGTTGAGTTCGGGACTATATACGATGTACATACGTCAAATGTACATATTGTAAACAGTACATGTCTGACCTCCGCTGCCAGGAAAAGTCTAATTTCGCCATGCAAAAAGAAACCAAATCCTGAGGGAACAGGAGAGGAGAAGAGAAGGACAGAGCCAGGAACACTTCTCCCACAAGAAGAAGAGACCGTGTATACACTGTAGTGCGACGTAGGGACCTTGCATCTACGTATGGTATGGTATGGCATGGCATGGCATGGCATGACTCGAAAATGAGGTATCTGTGATGTGCTCATGGCTTCGGGCCGGTATGGCTCACGGTCGCTTGTGGTGATTTGTAGCTGGGTCTCGAATTTCCGCAACCCATTTTCCCCACTTCCTTTGACGAACTCCCTTGTACTCGCAATACCGATTCTCGGGTCCTCCCTTGCCACTCCTGCGAGGATAAGTGTAGACTTCACCCATATTGCCATACAAAAGTGACAGATGGGTACGATTGATATGTATTGATCTAGTATTTATACTCTCCCAACATCGAAGGTAGCAAAACACAGGTGTCAAAAATCTCCCAACACCGAGGAAAGTGAAACGCAGATGACAAATGGCAAAAATTTAGTTCTAGTCTAGGACAGATTTCTAACTCCAGCGTAGATTACAGAGTTTATCCGCACATCCATTATAGCATGTGCGGATAAATCGAGAGACTAAAAAGACACTGTTCCTCGAAATAGGGAGAGTTTGCATGAAAAATGCACTATATCTAATCTGAAGAACAACCTGAACTCAAGGTCGTTTCTGCTCCTTGTTTAAAGGAGCAGGTTCAAGGTTTGGTGTTTAATGAGGTCGCTGTGATGTGCTCATGGCTTCGGCCGGTATGGCTCACGGTCGCTTGTGGTGATTTGTGTTTTTTGATTGTACATTATATTGGTCGGGGTGACTGATCAGTCAATCGATCAGTGGTTGCATTGAACTGAATGTGGTCGTTCATCTCCAGAAGCTCCGAGGCCCAAACTTTCGGAGCACCCACGTCCCAGAATTCTGTGGTCGCTCGCGCTCATCGACACTGATCGGTCACCCCGAACAATATAATGTACAATCAAAAAACACAAATCACCACAAGCGACCGTGAGCCATACCGGCCGAAGCCATGAGCACATCACAGCGACCTCATTAAACACCAAACCTTGAACCTGCTCCTTTAAACAAGGAGCAGAAACGACCTTGAGTTCAGGTTGTTCTTCAGATTAGATATAGTGCATTTTTCATGCAAACTCTCCCTATTTCGAGGAACAGTGTCTTTTTAGTCTCTCGATTTATCCGCACATGCTATAATGGATGTGCGGATAAACTCTGTAATCTACGCTGGAGTTAGAAATCTGTCCTAGACTAGAACTAAATTTTTGCCATTTGTCATCTGCGTTTCACTTTCCTCGGTGTTGGGAGATTTTTGACACCTGTGTTTTGCTACCTTCGATGTTGGGAGAGTATAAATACTAGATCAATACATATCAATCGTACCCATCTGTCACTTTTGTATGGCAATATGGGTGAAGTCTACACTTATCCTCGCAGGAGTGGCAAGGGAGGACCCGAGAATCGGTATTGCGAGTACAAGGGAGTTCGTCAAAGGAAGTGGGGAAAATGGGTTGCGGAAATTCGAGACCCAGCTACGAAAAAGCTCGTCAAAGGAAGTGGGGAAAATGGGTTGCGGAAATTCGAGACCCAGCTACGAAAAAGCGTGCCTGGCTAGGTACATTTGGCAACAAAGAGGAGGCAGCTGCAGCATACAGGCGGAAAGCTCTGGAGTTGTTCGATCATCAGCCTTCAACTTCGACAAAACTTACCGCTACTAACACTCCATTATTTTCTGTGCCCCTTCACACACTTTTCTCCAGAAAGGTATTACTCTTTATTATATTCTCTTTGTACTTATACTAAATTCTTTAGTGTTTTTCGATGTTTATTTGTTTGAACTTATTTTACAGGATGATATGGTATGCCAAGTTGGGACAGCCTATATGTGCAATGAACTGCAGGAAGCGCAACCCGGGCACCACCAGCATATCCCATTGGAGGAGGTGCTGCATCTTGCGGAGCCTGTAAATGGCCAGAGCTCTTTGTCGCCCGCTGCCACCAACACACATTTGGAGGAGAGTGTAACGCTGAATGAAAAGCTGGAGAACATAGAACCTGGGGTTGGTAACTTGATGATAGAAGATATTTGGGAAGTACTTCAGATGTTGGTGGAAGAAAAAGACGGTGAAGAGCTAGATTTCGAGGAGTATGTGAAGGAGTTAGATGCAAAGTCCTTCTTCCCTTCTAGATTTTGAAGAACCGAGGCAAAAGCCAATTGTCTGGCAATTTGTAATTTTTCCTGGTAATATTTAAATGTTATTTCTCTTGTCCACAATATGTGTTGTTTATGTATTTCAGGAAAAAAAAGGTAAAAGCCCTTCGTGTCTATGAAAGGATGAAGTTACTTCTTGCATTCCTGCCAATCGGTCTCAGGAACTATCAGCCAGACCAGGACATGAGCACCACGTCGGTCCGGTCCAGTCTTGGAGACTAGGCCCCCTAGTCTTGGAGAGCAGGATTCAACCTTGTCCTGACTGGGATTCAAGGTCGGATTGCGGATGAAAGCCTCCCGCTACTTGAACATTCGCTGCGGTAGTCGGTGAAGTCCTCGATCTCTGGCAGCTATGCCTCCAGAGCTTCGACGTTTTTGATGAGGTCATGAGCGATGTGCGAACGAGATCGAGAACGTGGTCTGGAAGATGCATCCCCCTCCCCTCCCCTCCCCTCCTCGTGTCGCAGGTCCTGCTTGCTGCCAGGGAGTTCCGCAGTACACCCAGCAACACGCAGCAGTCGCCTGCAGCCTCGTCAGTCTATTCAGCGGATCCATTCACAACAAGTCTCATGTATTGTGACGCTCGTCAGTAGTCGACGATTTGAACCCCGAGATGCCGGAAGTGAGAGCGAGGCTGGACTTGCGAGGAAAACTCGAAAGCCAATCGGACTCGTGTCTATCACCAACACTTGGGTTCCACAATCGAAAGCTCCATGTTTCCTGATCAGAAGCATTACCGGGACTTTGTGTAAAACATGGCAGACTGGCTTGGGTGACCCGCACATAGAAGAAAGAACGGAGCAGACAAAGGAGATCCTGTCTACTTGAGAAGTACAATTATTGCTTATTTCTGGCTATCTGGATATGGCTGGAATATGTGACTGACACGATGATGAAGTTGAAGCCAAGTCGTTTGAGCTTTCATGGTCTTCGAAGTAAGTACTTTCCTTCATACTGTCAGACTCCGAGATTCTGCTGAGCATAATAATGATTCTTAAATTCTTACAGCGAACGGCTCCAGAATCTGTCACTCTTTCGGGTTCATGATCAAGGAAGACAAATCAAAGTGAACCACAATGAAATGCAGGATATGGGAGTACGATTTGTTCCTCCCCATGGTGAAGCTAAGGTTTTTCCAACCGCTACGAGTATGAACCTAATTGTAGTCCTTGAACTCGCCGAAGAGAGGAGTGAAGACCGAGTTTGGATGCGTGCCATCTCAGATATCAGAAGTCACTACATTAGAAGATAGATGTCCAGCTCGCAAGGAGCAAACAGTTTCACACATACATTTGCTGCAAAATCTCACTCGATCAGATAAAAAGTCTGGCGGCCGAAAGATACTTTTCAGCAGTCGTATTGCGCCTGCTTCTGAGCAATAAAGACCTCGAATCATTTACCACTTTTCAAGCTGCGAGGAGATTTTGCAAGATGGACGTAGCAGCCACCCTCGTAGATTCTCTGACAGGAGGGTGGACTCCAGAAGCAAGCCAGGCAAGCAAGTGGTTCCGAGACCAAGCGTGGAATCGCGGACTCGAAGCCTCGGGACATCAGGGCAACCTTTCTGGTATGCGTTCGAAGAAATCTGTGATTCTAGACCCGACATGCGCACGTTGGCATGCTGTGGCTGCCCTTCTTCGTATCATCTGCTACCGCTGCCACAAAATTGGTCTCCGCAGCGCATCCTCTACATCAGCCCAAACACGAGAAAGATTGTCAACCGAAACCAGCGGACGAGACCCAGCTTCAGCTCAGTCAAGCCATGCATATATATATATATATGTGAGCAATCCTCACCGCAGAGATCGATTTCGCCACAGTACCTGAACCTTGTAATCATGACAATGTATTCATGGTGGTTGTTGCAGTTGCGAGGTTGTCGTCGTCACGAGCACAGTATGAGAATCTCATGCGCCCACAAATCTCGGTACAATGATCGGTTACAGTTGTAGTACCATGGTTAGATCGTTTCGACCACGGTTGTTTTCTTTTGGTGGTTTTTATGGGATATTTATTTGGGGTTTGGACTTACAGATTGGTACTCGCAGTAATTGAGGCCAAGCAAGGACTAATGAACGTAGGAGCCCACATTTTGCTATGCTATAGGAATACTTTCTCAGAATAGAATAGACCAGTGTCTATTCTGAAGCCATGTTCGACGGCGATAGAATTTACAAAATGGGTGGAACATGAGGATGAACCATGTGTTGCCATATTTCTGTGAGAAAGCTCACGCCAAGACAAAGATTGCAATAAACTGGAGTGATTATTCCGATTTATGAGATTTTTATCTTACGGGCCAAAGTGTTGGGAATGGGATTAAATAGGAAAATGATAACGTTGATTGGAAGTGGTAGGCAATGAATACTAGTATGAACTTTGACGATTCAAAGAGAGCAGCTTGAGAGGAGGGAAAGGTTCAATTAAAAAAATGTCAACCTCACAAGAGACAATTTCAGTATTAAAATCGTATATTTACTCAAACAATCATTTTCATTGCAATATACTTGAGGTGAGGATAGTGAAAGGTTTTAAGACAGATTCGATTAACGTGATATGAAAATATGTTTGCGAGGAGTGTGCATACAGTGGATGAGATAATACGAGCTGAAGAGAAGAATATGATGTAAATCTCATTATTCTTGATGCATATATATGATGACACTTTTTACACGCTATTCTGTAATTTTCAAACCTGAAGATATATTGTTTGAGTTCATCATGCAAGAAGAATGCAATCGTTTGATAAGATGATATGAAGATCAGTTGTTGAAGTACATTTTTGATGTCACAAGGACATTGCTTTGCTATGAAGACGATTGAAGGCGTGGATGTGGAGTAAAATAATTAGCTTTTAGGCGAGATAAAATCTAGATATTGGAGCGTAAATTTATTTTCTTTTTTTACAAATATTACTAATCTTATTGTGATTTCACATTTTTTCATATTTTAATGTTTTGAATAATTTTTATCACATGTATCAGATGACAAGACTTTATGGATTAAGAACGTCACATATTTTTAAGTATCATTTGAATGGCGCAAGAGGCTCCTGGGGATGCTTTTGGGAGGATAACAATAATGACAAAAAAGAGGTTTTATGGGAATGAATGCGATCAACTAAAGTCATTCTTGTACCAAACAAGAACCAGGATAATAAAAGTATTCAAGATTGTCATTTGTTTGTCAAAAGAAATGCTTTTTTCACTTTGAAATCAGACCAACCATAGTGCGTGTCATCCTTGCGCAGGGCCATGCTAATTTTCTCTGTATCTTTCCAATTTTATCGGATGTCTTTTCGAAGACATTCGATAGTTAAAATAAGGAAGATTATCCCTTACGTTGATGGTTTGAAACCGTGTTTTCAGACTCGTAGGTCCTCTTAATGGTGCCCTAAGTCTACTATTTTGTCTCGAGGTGAAAGAAAAAGAAAACAAACATATATTGATTTTTTAATTGGTCCGTGTTCACCGGAATGCTAGTTGTACGCAAGGGAACAAAGCCGAAAGCATTAGGCCGAATGCCCTGCGGGTCAGCCGCATCTTCGACGAAAATAGATATTGAAGGACTTCTTCTAGCGTCTTAAACTCAGCGTATCCGTTGAGGCTGGAAGCCAAACATTGCATTGCGCTTGACGTGTTCAGAGAATTTTTCCAGCAGAATACAATTGCCTGTTCTAAACCTTCGAAGAGAGGCTTTTGCGTACTCGAGATGAAGAAGTACAGTTTCAGCGAGTTCTATGATAATTTTATAGTGACGCTGAATTTGCTAGAGAGCCTGGACATAGCCGAACCTGTACGGGATTTAATACTACAAGATATGTACTTCTTCCCATTGGATTAAACCGGATAAATAGTCTACATACCACTTCAATGTGGTTCTAACGTACACAAAATTTTATTGGATACCGCTTGAATTTTTGTTTTACAGAAAACCATGACATCGAACTATGTGGTCTATATTATGAATCTTAAATGATGTATATAATCTTGCAAATATAAATATAAGTTAGATATTGAAATCTTCAATTTGAACAAGTTTTCAAATTGATACATGCTCTCAATTTGTACACAAACTTAAATTGTCAACTATTCATTACAACCTGTTAATATTTTAAACATGAATTTATGTGTTCATTTGAATTTTTAAGTTTGAACTACAACGTATTAGTGCCAAAAGAATTATTTACGCTAATTTTCTGAAACTTCTATAATATCAGATACTCAGTGTCATCACTCATTCTCAAATTTTTTTAAAAGAAATTTTGAAGAAGTTGACAGGGTATTTTCATTTTTATCAATTCCAAACACAACTAGATCAAAAATACATTTTGATCTGTAATTTTATAAAGATCAAAATGTATTTTTTAATCTCATTGACTTCGTACTTGAATTAAATATTTATATCTAACATAAATCTTAATTAGCCATCAAATAAAAATTGTGAGATGCAGGAAGTAGAAAACATTAGTTTTCTTAATAACAAAATTGACGAGTTTATTCTATGATGATATTGCTTTTTTAAGATGTTTTAGCAATCTAATCTTTACATCATTAAAATTGAATGATAAATTTAAAAACAAGTGTTTCAGAATACCAGAGCTAGTAAGTTAAATTTTGTTATATTCAAACTAAATGAATTTAATTGATTAATTATCATTTTTTATGTTCTAAATCATGCTAAAAAAAGCGAATTCATTGATAACAATAACTACAGATTTCATTTCAGGTTACAAAACTTTTCATCAAAGACATATACCAATCAAGTTTGCAAGTAATCATAATGAAAATATCGTAGGATGAGTTTTCAATTCATGCTAAATAGTTACATTTGACATGACTTTGAGCCCAATGTGCCAAATGCAAGAGCTAAAGGAATCAAATATCTGGAAAGCACATGCAATGATGAATGTAACATGAAACATGAGTGTGGAAGAAATAAAAGTTGAGGTACATTGCTCCATCTTTCATCCTCAAGACAAAGATATCAAGTCATCAAAGGATGATGATGGAGGTAAATCAATTTTTTTTATGTTAGAAATGTTGATGAATGTGGTGAAGGAGTTGAATGGGGGAAGAACCAAGTGCATTCGTGTTCTCGTATCACAAGATAAACGTTACATGGATTTAATGATTTTGATAAATTTCAATTGTCCCTCAAATCTTATTTAAAAAAAATGATTTAATATTGTTTTTGAAGAAATGAGATAGTATAGAAGAACAAAACTTTTCATTTACAACAAGTTTTTTTTCAATACTATACTAAATAGTATTGATAGTGAGCACTAGATTCAAGTTTTTTGTTCTTTTACAAAAATCTACACAAAATATGTGAAAAATTATAAATATCTAGTCATTGATTTCTATAATGACTATAGTTGGGCACTTTGTGTGCAAAATAAAATAAAACCGTGTTACAAAGCTCTATAATTATTGTTGAATCAATGTAGAAGAGCTCATCTGTTGTTTTGGGGTCTTAGAAATTTTAAATTTAAGAGCTTAGTGTTCCGGAAGTCTCATATGAAACCCAAGTGTGTAGCTCTAATTTTAAAATAATAGGTTGTGAGCTATGAAGAGCATGTGTTTGTTACTTGTACTACGTACGAAGAGATTAGACTCGTTCATAAAATAGATGTGGAAAATTTCTATTCTTTAATGATAGGTAATGATTTTTTATTTAAGTTGTTATATTAAGGAAGTGATTAGTCATCACTCTAGGCACTAGCCAGTGATTAATCTTTGAGATATTTCCCCCGATAATTTAATGTTTAATTTGTATTGTGTTTTTCAACCTTTTGATCCATGGGTATCACGGATTTGATATTTGACCATTTAACATTTTACTTTTCTTAATTATTTATGGTTTATCTTAGTAACTTTTTTCATGTGTTCTGGATTGCTACTTTCCGTTCATATTCTATGGAGAAGACCATTGCGGCCGTGCAGAACTACAGACAAGTACATCTGTAGAAATCCATTGTCATCCGGGTACTGTCCAAGGTCGTGTTTGGGTTCTCTTCTTGGTAACGTAGTCTTACGAACATATAAAAATACAAACGAACTTGATAAATTCATGTTATAAAGGCTTGGAATCCATGAAAAAGTTGAGCTTTGTTCTTTCTGGGAAACCATGAAGTTCTATGCCGTCGGGCCCAAGGACCCTTCTAGAAATGGCTGAGAAAGAATGATACTCCAGGAATAGATTGAATCAGTGTATCCGTCCATGGCCCCCTTTTTTTTATTTTCCCACCGAAAATACTCTGGCTAATGTAGCACTTTGATGAGCGTAAATTGAAAGTAAACAGAGACAGTGTAGCAATGGATTAGAGCATGCAAGACAAAAGCGAGAATTTAGGCAAAGTCTCGTAGCACCCATAAGTTGCAACTCTGTAATGCTTAGAGATATATTGCACGTGGCATGAACTTTTGATCTCTTGGGGCGGCCACGTCTAATCATCACGTCAGGGTCAAATCGATGGAAAAAAAGGGATAGCTGATCTTGAGGGATTCCGCATAGCCTTTAAGCGCATGATGTGCTCGAAATGTCTCACGGGAAGTCAAAAAGGGAGGCCGAGGGCAGCCATTCCTCCGTAGCGAGAGACAGTGCTGTGGCCGATCGAGTCGCTAGTTCGCAATGCACCGCACACCATCTCCACGGTGGCCAATGGTCTCACGCAATGTGAGGAGTTTCTCCAGGTTATTAATTACTCGGGGGAGGAATTTCATAGCAAGGCTCGGCGCACGTGCCTTTGTCGTTGCAATCGATCGCCATCGTCTTTCCTGACAAAGTTTAAACTTGTGCGGGTTTCTTACGCTCGCCATGTTTCCAAGATCGCGAGTCCTGTCTGTCCCTTTGTTTTTCGGAAATGTACGGCATGGACGAGACCTCTCAGAAGTACCGTACAATTGGGTTTCGCATTTAGGGCTCAGTGCATCGTAAAATGGCCCTAAACCTACACGGCACTGGGGCTCCCGACGACCTTGGGATGATAATGTGATGAGTGACATATGAAATCTCTGCACAATAAAACAAATGGGGCACAATTTGGGTCTAGGGCTGGTCAACCACTTTTGACACAGGTCTTTCAATCTGCAACCCGATTCGCCCTCGACATGGACCGGGTGCAAGGACTACCGTTTGAAGAGCTCCTTCGATTGTCCATCCGTTGGCTTTACAGGGCATACTGCTTGCGATTCTCGATTCTGCGAGCGTCAACCTCAACGCAATGACAGATGATTAATCTTTTCATGTCATCAGCAGATCGACAGACCCTGTTGCGATTCGGAGACCTAGCGACAAGCCTGGAAATAAAGCAGTTCCCGTGGAATTTGGATGTCGAATTTGGATTTGTACATCGGCATCTTTGTCTGACTTTGCATGCAGCAACGAGTCCAATTGCGATCCAATGCTATAGTAAGAGAGAACATCCTCTTACCCTTCCCTTGGTGCAGGTCAAGATGAACTTTGCCATCTAGTACAGGCTGAACCATCTGTGGTTACCAGTTATCTAAGACCAGCTTGCGCCTGAACTTTCGAAATTCTATTGCACATTTTATATCCTGACTTAGAACTCTGCAAGATCATGTGAGAATTGCGAGAATTGCGCCCCTGCTACTCTCCATATGGACTTTCCCTCTGTCCGGGATGACTGTTTTATGCATCTGGAAAACCGTAAGGCTTCTGGAAGAAATGGTCAACCAAGGACACATAATTACAGACTTCCCTAACATGCATTTGTGCAATGTGCACTTGGCTTAGCCTCACGATGAGCTATTGATACTAGCTCCATATGGACTTTCCCTCTGTCCGGGATGACTGTCTTATGCATCTGGAAAATCTGGAACTTTTTGCATGTTTTCCCATCTCTTCTTCCTATCCTTTTGGCTATAGACTTGGCCCCCACTCTATCTAACTGATTCTTTTTGCATGTTTTCCATCTCGTAGAGCAATTCCTTTGGCTATTTACTTGGCCCCCGCTTTCTTTTTTTTCTGATTTTTCTTGCATGTTTTCCCTCTCTTATTCCGATTCCCTTTGCTAACATGCATTTGTGCAATGTGCACTTGGCTTAGCCTCACGATGAGCTATTAATAATAGCTCATCGATGCCATTGTGTAAATACACAATGATTGGAAAACTTCCAATCCTGCAGACTCTGAAACTTTCCCCATAAATTACTCAGTCAACATCTACCGCCGCTGCACCGGAGTTGCTAAACACCAAATCTGAAAACGGTTGACAACTTTCCACACTTGACTTTCCAAATAATACGATTCACTTGGAATACTCTACCACCGTAACGTACACATATAAATAATGCCATGAATTCAATGATAGATGTTTTACCAAATCCGAGCGCCAATAATCACTGAATCTCAAAATTGGTAGATTTTCTCATTGAAGTGTAGGTAATGTATATTCAACTCTGGTTGATTCCAAGATGATGTCAATCCTCATGAGCATACGTAACAAACTGTGTTCTTTTACACAACAAGCATGATGTTATATCCCAATATTCTAAGAAGTTATGTATCTCAACCTCTGACCGCTTCTATATATTATTTAATAATATATTATTATATTATCTTCTATATTTTAATTTTTTATTGGTTTCAAATTAATATAAAAAATAGGAAATATTTACAATGAAAGATATAAAACATCAAATCTCTAGAACTTCCTTAAATTTTCAAGGCATGACGAATATGATGATAAGAATGGTGAAAGTTCTATCGATGAAGAATTTTACTTCTTGATCCAACCCAAAATAAAGTATTAAGTTATTGATAAAAATATCAGTTTTCAAAACTAATATAACATAAAAGTGATATGTATGTTAATGTTGCTATTGAACATAATAACATCAAAGTACCTTCATTTATCTCCTCAAAATCAAATTTTAAGAAATAAATACACGTTTTTGGTCGTTTAGGATCATTCAATAATGCTATATGTTTACTAGAGTAATAGACTAGACTGTCTCAAATTGGTTACTTAAAAAGTCATTAAAAGCACAAATACAAGAAATAACAGTTCATACAGGAAAAAGTAGAAATAGTAATTAATAGTTACATATAGTCACCCACATCTTGCGTAAGTGCAAAATAGTATAAACATACAGGACTATCTCGGCTACCGTGACGAAAAATAAACACACAAGCTCAAGTCACTGTTTCTAGGCAAATGTAATTTGTAACAAATTGTATAGGAAAACAGGAAGGACTTTCATGTAGTTGAAGAGGCTTCGACATTTGTAAAAATTGAGCCATCACAGTTACATGAAGAAAACAATGCAAGTGTTGCACCAAAATTTGAGATGCATAAGCGCGCTAACTGAACTCAACTAATGCTCTTTCAGTCCTGAATTCCAGAGTTAGCTGTCAGGGAGCTTCTCTAAATGTCCGTTTATTTTCACCTTGAGCCCTGAGTCATCTTTGTGCTCTCACTGGCTCTCAAGCCAAGCCGCGCATCTTCTACACTAGATGGTGATTTCCAATAATATAATCGGTGCGAGTCTAGACCTGAGGACGCTGGAGGTTTGTCTTGAAGTGAAATATAGCGAGTGAGTTGCAGATTTCATGAACTTGCAGACAAGGTGTCTGTTGTCCGCGAGATACCTTGGCGACCATGAGTATAAGTCATGGTGATTGGAAATGAAAGATATTCTTTCATGCGCACCAACTACAGCTGCATCGACTGCCTCGTCTTCAGCCATTCACCCTCCGTGCGCCACCGAAGGCCAGCTGACATTGTCAGAAAGTCACGACATGCAACGAGCGATTTCTATGGAGTCAGATCCTCGTTCTTCGTTGGGTACTCATGCTCTTGCCTTGCACTGCCGCCTTCCATTTTCTTCTGTAGAACTTGCCTGTTGTGTCAATCAACATCGTTGCTTTATTCTTCCATGTATATTAATGTTTGATGTACCACGGAATGGCCGACGTGCTGTGAACCGCACCTAAACATGGATTTTGCCGTCGCCCATGCACTAGTGCAGCTTGACGAACTTAGCGTGAATCTACTTCGTCTCGGTCATGTGGTTACAGACGCCTTCGATCGAGGATTTTCGGGATGATCTCCGGGTCCACGGCTCTTACGTTTGCTCGGGCCTGACGTGTTTCTGCCGTCGTTCTTGACGTCAATAGTCCATCCACCTTCGGAGAAAGACGTGCGAGTTCGATGAGCAAGGGAGAAGTGGAAGTCACAAGTTTCTGCTTCTCATGACTTTCGTACTTCACTTGGGCGTATGAGCCATCAATACACACACACCTATCGATCATAAGCAGTCTTTGCGCTAATCAGTTCTCGTCTTTGGTATGCTGTGTGAAGGCTTTTGTAAAGTCGAGATTCACTAGACCGTCATGGTCAGCCAAGTTAGGTGGTGCAACAGGAGCCTGCACTCTCCGTTCTACTTCTGATGATTCCGAAATCAGAAGTTCCTGTCTCTGAGCGCTTGAGGTCGGCTACCCACGCATGTCTATGTTCATGTTCAAGGAACGATGACCAGTATGAATTCGCGTCGAGAGCAGCTCACGTGCTCATCGAAAGTGGTGATTTTGTTAACATTTGCAAAAGCCTGATCAGTAATGTGTGAATAATAATCAACCCGAGTCTAGATTACGTGAGAAGGTAGGTGTTTGACTTGTCGAATGGTCGGGCTCGTTCAGTGTGTTGTTGACGGATTTTCGGACTTCTGAAATCTAGAGTTGAGCCCCAATATGACGTCTACATCATGCTCGACGTGTTGTCATTATAGTCTCCAAAAGAGCACGTCCGCACACTTCGAGCGGATTCGAGTGAGCTAATAATCATCATGGCCCAAAAGCTGGTCAGGGACGCGGAGATTTAAGGCAACATCTGGCTTCTGGCTTCTGGCTTCGTGAGGTCAAGCGTTTCGAATTCGTTTCGAGGCGCTCTTCTTATCTTGTAGTTGGTCACTGCGATGCGTTTGGGTTCTCAGATACATCAGGTGTGTGCAATCGTCCCTTGGCCCGTCGGGCCCTCCCGTGGCCTCGGAATTCCACTCGTTCCATCTCTCGGGTACATACATAACCAGAGATCTAGTCGAGTCCATTCTGCCTCATCGTCTTAATTTGATGTCTTCTTTCTCAGAAGTTGAGCTCTCCTGCGCCCAGTGTGTCAGGAGTGGGCGATCCCCACTTAAAGCCCCGGACCAAAGCTTGTGGATGGCATCGAGTCTATAAGTCTCAGGACCTACCTCGATGGGCTCGAACGCGCAGCTGCGACACTATTGCGCCATTCATGATAAATTAGGCCCGCACCCCCAGATCAAAATAATCGTTCAACAGCCACCATCGCATATAGTGGACTTCTCATGTTCTCTTGCAGGTGGCCGGAATGCCTGGCGCGCACGACTCCAGGCTGTCAATTTACTCAGTCTGCTGTAAGACCAGATACCAGTGAGACGAGCGAGGACTTGCGCGCTTGCGGCCTGCTCTCGGTCAACGACGTTCAGTCATTCCGCAAGCAGCAGCAGCAGCAGCAGAAGCAAAGCTTCGATACCTTGGATTCATCACGTCGAGAAGAAGCGCATCATCTGATCGCAACTCGACGCTATAAGAAGCCATGCAGCTCAGCCCTCACTCACCGCTCGGGAATCCGACCGCCGCCGCGGGACTGCCCCCAACGGTTGGGAGTGTGGCAGTTGACGCTCCATGACCGACCTGCACTCTAATCGGGGACTCCGTTCGTGTGCCAGGCGCAGCGTGCAGAGAGGCGGCGGCGGCCATGGCGGTGCGCTCCTCGCCGGCCGGAGCAGCATCACCGACATGGACATGGCGATGGAGAGACCTGGTGGCTCAAGTCTGCAGCGTCGTGTACCTGCTGCAGGCCATATTCCGGCGGTCGATGGGACGAGTGCGCCGCCCCGTCTGTCGCCAGAGTCAGGACGTCGACCTTGGAATATTAATAGCCTCGTCCCTGCTCGGTAAGCTCGCAATATTTCCCAACGTTGCCCGAATTTTAAAATTTGAAGTGCCACACTTGCCGTAGCTTGCTTGCATGGTAGCGTGGTGGGGACGCATGGCGCTGGTGTGTCGATCCGCCACACTGCGTCGGCGTCATCGCGTGCGCGCGACGCTCCCGCCCGACCTGCTCGCACGGCAGGTCCGGCGATCGAGTGCCCGCGCCCCATTGCCGTTAGTGGGTGGAGCGAGCGAGCGTCGAGAGGGAGTGAGTGCGAGGATCGAGGGTGGTGAGAGGAGGAGCGATCGGGGCGATGGATAAGGACGGGGTGAAATCGAAGAAGCGTCGCTCGGATGAGAGGGGCGACGAGGAAGCATGTTTCGAGCTCGCTAGTCCGAGCGCTTTCAAATCCTCTCGCCAGCGCAGGGGTTGTGGTTTCTTACTCGTCGATCGTCTTTTGTCTCTTGTCTCGTCGAAGCGGTTGACAGAAGGTGAGGATCGCTCCGATCCTCCGCGCGTTCTGTTTGTAGGCCTCGCGCGCGTTTTATATTCGCAACTCTAATCGTGATTAAGGCTCTGAATTCTTTAATGTCCATGTTCACGGGCTGAATGTTCGTCTACAGTCTTCTCTGTGGTCCTGCGGCCGTCGAGAATCTGTCGTTTTCTGGAGGCTTGATCGAACTTGTGTGTGCTGACAGTCGTTCGGTCCTCGATTGAGCTCTGAATTGGCATTGATTGGTGACTTGATTGGATTCAGAGGTGCCTGTGAGCAACACCAAGTTGACGATACCTTTGGGACTGAAGGTGGTGGGCGAAGTGATCAAACGCCTCAACTCCATCACACGACGCAGCGATGGGACGATCAATCGGGCCCTGGCGGATTTGTTGGAACTTAAAATTGCGGCATGCGAGAAGCCGACGAATGGAGTTTCCACGCGAGACGTGGTGATTGACGAAGCAACGAATGTTTGGGTGCGGATTTTCACACCCGAGATTGTGCGCCCTGGGAGCAACAGCAGTTCCGAGGAGAAGGTCCCGGTGATGGTGTACTATCATGGAGGTGGATTCGGTGTTCTGTGCGCCAACATGTTGTTCTACGACAGGATCGGACGAACGCTGGCCAAAACGTGCCAGATGATTGTCGTGTCCGTGAACTACCGCAGAGCTCCGGAGCACAAATTCCCCATAGCTTACGACGATTCCTTCCAAGCCCTAGAATGGCTCCGATCGCCCGCCTCTGCTCGGCACCTGCCCGCGGTGGCAGATGTGTCGCGCACCTTCCTGTGCGGCGACAGCGCCGGAGGCAACATCGTCCACTTCATGGGTTGCAGGGCCGCCGAAATTGATCTCAGCCCTGTGCAAATCCGTGGCTTGATTCCTCTGCAACCCTATCTAGGATCCGAAGCCCGGGTGCCTTCGGAGATCAATCTCGTCAATGTTCCGGTCATTTCCGTGGACGCCACTGACTGGCACTGGAAAGCCTTCCTTCCCGAGGGCGCCGATCGCGACCATCCTGCTTGCAATGTGTTCGGGCCCAACGCCAAGGACATATCTGGCCTCAATCTGCCTCCCATGTTCGTGGTGGTGAGCACCCTTGACGTTCTTCTGGATCATCAGCTGCACTACGTCGCCAAGATGCAGGAATTGGGCAAGGACGTGACCATGAAATGCTACGACGGAGGCATTCATGGCTTCTATATTCTCGAGGGCGTGGGAATCAAGCTGGCCTTGACCTGTATCGACGATATACACAACTTTGTCCAATCCTGTCTTCTTACCGTTGCCGCCCAATGATTGTCAGTCACATAAACTCTACACACGGATGTAAAAAGAGCAGAATCGAAGAGGCAGCAGACTTAGCAAATAGGTTAAATTCTCCCGAGCTCATGAGGCTCCAGTTGTACAGGATTAGAAAATCTGAAATCCCATCATCCCTCACTTCCACCACGGTCGCGGTCGGTAGGAGCTCCACGACGAAACATTTCGTCTTCGCCTTCGACGGACAAAGTTTCACTACTCATGCTTCAATTTGAAATACAAAAACCCTGTCAAACGCACACATGGTTCCATTGTTCCAGAGAAGTGATGGCTGATGATTCTCGGTCTGAATGTGTAATTGCCCGCGCATGCTTCCTATTCTGAAATGTCCTTCATCCCAGAATTTCCTTACTCTGGTATAAGTTGTTCAAAAGTCGAGTCTATTCAGTTAAGGCATCGTGCGTATGGATGTGGATGTAAAACAACCCCCGATTAAAAGGGCAGAGGGGTAGTGCGTTCCATGTCGGAACTCTAGAGGATGCCGCTGTGTGCTTGTCGGTTCTTTATAGCCTTTTTCCGAGCCCCGACTCTGATAGCTCGATGACTTTATTAGGCTATAAATCATATTCATCTTTTGCAAGTTCCTGACACCGCAACTCAGACAGAGAGAAAGAGAGCTGTGTAGATGACATAGCGCTGGAAATGCGCTCGAGTTTAGGAATTTGGAATCAAGTGTGCGATCTTTGGGCTCAGAGGCAAGCCTGAATCACTTCAACATATGGCAATCTCTGTCCACCGAGTCCAATGATGAATAACACTTTGAAATTATCCAGTCTGCTCGGCTATGGTGGCTTGGCATAAGGCCTCCCTGGGGAAATCCAATACGAGCAGAGAAAGCGCAGAAATGCCGAACCCTGGACGGCCAAAATCGATGGGCCCTGTCCATAAAAGGAAAAAGCCGGCCAGCAAACTTGCTGCATGGCCCTCACCGACTTGGTTGGAGTCAGCACGTGCCCTTCTGGCCTAATTCGTTACATTACAGTAGACGTGAAGTGCACGGTGCTGCGTTAGCATACATCCACGTGCTTTTAACCAATCCATAAGTAAGTTCCATGTGCCGTCATAATACTAAATTAGGACCGTCCAGGCATCTATTTCAAGTGTTCCAACTTCCGGATAATTCCACAAAATTCTCCAAAAAAATAAAAAAGTAGACGGACACAAACAAACTTTTTGTCTCTGCGTTGAGTAATATGCGGAGATTTTGGTATCATCAATATTCCCTGTCAGTATTAGGTTTCAACATGCCAATCCTAACCAATTCCCGGACTCATATGAAACAAGATTCATATAAATTCAATGAAAGCTGTTATAAGTGATCTTAGATATTAAGATATATATATATATATATATATATCTTGAATACTTCAGTTATATAAAGTGATGATTATCTTGTGTACTCCTATAAACTTTTATGCTCTAAAATATTTTTAAAGCAAGTGTCAAGACGAAATACTCTATATTTCATATTTAAAATATTCAAGCAATATTGTCCAAGGATTTGTTAGCCAAAAGATTTGTATTTAAGGCAAATTTGATTTTGTTGAATTAAAACTACCCTGCGGGCAAATATCACATTCTTGATAACTTCATGAAAAATAGTAGCCTTAGAACTAAATTACTAGCTTCATAAACACTACCTTTGTCTAAAGTATTCTAACATACATTATACATTCATCTACATAAATGTAGATGAATGAATCAAGGTAAAAAAAATAAAATTATAACACAATAGTTAATAATGTTATCCATTCTTACCACTCTCTTCCTCGGGCCATTCGGCCGTATTGAGAAGGGGCAGCTCCCCTGTTATCGAATGGAGGGTCGGGCAGCACTAAGCATTAAGCACTTGAAAAGGTTTTTTAAGAGTTTTCAAAACTCCACTTACAACCTTTTTTCTGCAACCTCATATTTGGATTACATGATGCCATTTTTGTTAAACTAGAGATTAAATGACATGAAAGACAAATCTGAAGATTAAAGTTAATCATAAAGTGCTTCTTTATTTCATATATATCTTCACAACAACAAAATGTCATCATTCTAATCCCAAATGGCAGATATATCTAACAAGCATACGGATTGTTTACATTACAATTTAGATAAATTATAATACAATTCTATCTCTAAATTGAATAATTTTTAGTTTAGTTTTAAGTAAATATAAATGATTGCAACTTTATAGTATATGAAAGTCAATTGAATTAAGCATTTGATGTTCATTTTTAAACATTAATCTTTCATTTTACATGTATTGAGCTTTGTGAACATCACTAATCTATATTAAAAGGATTTTTTATGTGGAACTCAACAAAAATTTATAATCAAAAAATTATTGGCAAAAAGTTTTCAAATTTTTGTGCTTTGATTTTAAATTTTGTAATAAAATATGTTGATGTTTGTTAAAAGGAATTTTAAAAAAAATTTCAAAGGAATTTTCAAGTGAAGCATAAAAAATATTTTCGTAATGATAAAATTTATATTCATTGTTGAAATATTTATATTGACTATTCATAAACATTTGAAAATTATTTACTCTTTTAAAGTGACTTAAATATTTTCAATATTTTTTAGAAGAACAGATTTTTTAAAAAATTTCATAAACCTTTTTGAATTTTACATAAATATCTTTGATCACATCTTTTTTTAAATGCATTTTTAACAAGCAACTACAAAATTGAATGAAAATTTCAAATATATTAGTGTGTAATCAAATTTATACTTTAAATATACTATATATTGAAATTTTAAAAATATACCACCTTATCTTATTCTGAATGAAAGTTGATCTAATAAAACTAACATTCATCACACACTATAGAAAAAATAAATTTTTCTAAATAATGCACTAACATGACTAAGATATATGATGAAATGTCAAGGATGTGTATATCTTATCATTGATATGCACATTAAGATCGGCATGGCAGTAATAATGGCAAATCATTTTTGTAGATTCAGTGATATATCAAAAATTTTAATGATTTCCACTTATCCATATAGTAATTTAAAAAGCTCATAGGTATTATTTGATCCTTCATGAGAATAATTATACGCAGAAAGTCATAATCAATTTCACATCTTATATCACACTGCATATCTTCCAAATCTGACCTATCTCAATCAGGTTAAAAAAAAAAGTACCACGTGGGTCAACTGGTCATATATTTTTTTCAGTTGTAAATTTTTTTAACAGTATTGCACAATCTACTGCATTCATGATCCAAAATCTATTAGTCATATTTAAATAGAGGACATCTTTAAAAAATAAAATTATTTAAAGATGTGCATTATCTAAAATTATGCTTAGCTAGTACAAGATAAGTCATTTTAATTCAAGATTGAAATTACTTGCCATTCAATTGAAAAGAATGAAATAATAAATTTGAATATTTTTATGAAGTACATGAGAGTTTTTTTAAAATCGACATGGATGTGAAATAGAACAGCCCTACATCAAAACTACGATAACTAGAACACTCCTATATCAAAACTTGACTCTGATGCTGATAATTGATTGAAATAATCAAAATAATCAATATTACTAATCACTTCTAAAATCTGGTTGATATGTGAAACATCAATAAAAATAAATAATATACTCTATGCCTTATTTAAAATGATAAATATCGATGTAATTGTACTCTTCACTTGTGCATATTCTATTCTATGGTTCAATAATATTCATTGAGCACTTTTTTCATGAGCGTTTATCTTACAGATCAACAACGGTACACCAAACATAAATCACCATGCAAAGCTCTCTTAAACACCTTGAAGAAAGTGAAACTATAACTAGTACCCAAAAAATGAAACTCCATCATCTATCTCTGTCCACATGCAAGACCGTAACTAATGACACTCAACTTGATAAATTAGGAGAGTATCTATAGTAGATAGTTAACCAGGCAGAGATACAGCATTACGAGTAATTCGTCGGAGTGGTATAATACTTAGTTTTGTACGTGACGTAACTCCCATGCCTCATAATGGATGTAGACCACCTAGAAAGAACATGTATAAATAAAAAAACTATTTACAAACAATATTATTATGATTCAAGATGAAATAAAAGTTTCTACTCAAACATTATAGTGGAAGTGTATTGAATCTAAAACAGAAAGTAAACGTCTCTTTATAGTCGTTTCGCTATTTCACCTTTTAGAGAAGGTCAAGCCAATACAGTGGGAATAGCTATGTGTAGAGCGTTACTTAATGAAATTGAAGGAGCTTCTATTACATACGCTAAAATAAAAAAAGTAAAACATGAATATTCAACAATAATAGGTTTACAAGAATCTATTCATGATATATTAATTAATTTGAAAGAAATTTTTTTAAAAAGTGAATCTTTTGAACCTCAAAAAGCATATATTTCAGTTTTAGGACCTACAAAAATAACTGCTCAAGATATTAAAGGACCTTCTTGTATTTAGATTATCGATAACAATCAATATGTAGCAACTATAAACAAAGATATTTTATTAGAAATTGAATTAAATATTGAAAAAGATCGTGGATATCGTATTGAAAACTTACAGAAATATCAAGAAGCTTTATTTCCAGTATATGCTGTTTTTATGCCAATACGAAATGTGTTCTAATTATAGTGTTCACTCATTTGAAAGTGAGGAAAAAATCAAAGAAATACTTTTTTTCAAATCTGGACTGATGGAAGTTTGACCCCAAAAGAAGCTCTTTATGAAGCTTCTCGAAATTTAATTGATTTATTAATTCCTTTCATTAATTCAGAAAAAAAGAAAAAAAATTGGAATAGAAAAAAAAAATGAATCAAATATGTCGTATTTTCCTTTTCAATCTGTATCATTGGATGTTGAAAAAATGACTAAAGATGTTGCTTTTAAACATATATTTATTGATCAACTTGAATTACCCGCCAGAGCATATAATTGTCTTAAAAAAGTAAATGTGCAAACAATAGCAGATTTATTACAATATAGTGAAGATGGTTTGATTAAAATTAAAAATTTTGGAGAAAAATCAGTAGAACAAGTTAAGATATTGGCCTCTATTGGCCTACTTGACATGCGAAAGTATCATACATCAAATTCTTAAACTCTGAAAGTTTTGATAATCCTTAATCTTGAATTCTCCAAAATTTTACCACATCTCGCGAAAATCAAACCAATGATGTTGAGAAAGATGTTGGAACCAAAACACCATACCTATATGTCTAATGGAAAAAATGTGTATAAACCATATAAATAACGAACTCACTAACAACATTCTCTGAATATTCCAAAATGATCATCAATATATCAAAGAGATGTTAAATGAACCCATCTCTTTACTAAATAGACCCATGGGATCCTTTGGTTGAATAGTAACCCGATTTCCATGAATGGCTGCCAAGTTCGTGTCTTCAAACAGATGTACCATGTACATCTCAACAGCTTCTTGAAGAGCTTGTATGGCAGAAGCTTGAAAACGGAAACCTACACTGACGTGCACCAATGATTTCACGTACCACACCACACGCTCAAAGGGAGACTTCTTGATGAGTAAATAACAGTTAAATTAATGTTTAAAAAAAAAGTTACGTGATGTGTCGATTTAGTAAAGAGATTGATCCATTTAACATTTCCCTATATCAATAATTCATGAAATTGGAAAATAAATAGAATGGATGCTTGATGGCAAAATATAACCCTAGCGTATGTGAAGAACTAATCCCTCCCCAGGACTAGTCTTCTCTCTCCCTCTCGCTCTCGCTGCCCACATCACCAACGCTCGCCGAGAGAAAAACATTATCTGATAGGACATGTGTAGAATAAACTTTTGTTGGCCTTTAGTTCAGACATGGACTTCACCATATCTCCATATGGATACTTGGCGAATTGGAAGAATAGGCCATCACTGCTGAAATAACCGCTCCTCAAAGCGGCGCAATGAAGGGTTCCGATCTCCGTGCGCTTTCTGGGTGTTGACATTTTGTAATGTCGGTGTATTTGTTTCACTTTTAGCAGTTTGTCGGTATTGTAATTATTCGTTATCATCATGACGATGAGGTTGAATTTCAAGCTAAATGTGAAGGAATTTCAGGGATACATATTCTCCTCGAGGACGGTTCTGAAAGTCAGTGCTGTGTGGTTGGAGTCTGATCCGCGCTCTGTTGTTAACTCCATACTACGTATTTTATTCAATATAAGAATGAAAATATATTTTAGATAATTTCAAGAGTCCTCTTGTATAGTCGAGTAAGTCAACAATAAATTGTTGACATAGGCTAGTCTTTTAATGTCTCTCACTCGTTACATTTTGTTCTCTAGAATTTAATCATCATCAAACCTAGAATTATCATATCATCATTGACTATGATTTACTAATTTGAGCAAGATATAATATTTTGAGATATTATTGAACATACATCAATAAATAAATAGAATTTAAGTTGAAAAAATCTTATTCTTTCCTTATGTGAAAAAAACCCTAAAAAATAAAAATACTTGCTATAAAAACATTTTTTATATATATGTAATTATATATATAGACTTTAAATTGTCAACATAGATTGATAGTCTTGTTGATGTGTTGATATATTTAATTAATTATTTTCTTATTTCAGCATTTTATATATATATTTTTGTGGGTCCAATTCACTTTTGAAAGATAATTCAATAGAATGAATTTTTATTTTATTTTTTGTACAGAGTTAAATCCGCGAATAGTGAAGTACATTGGTGCTAGGGTTTTATATCACTATTGGAAGTTGTCACTCACAAGAGTAAAGTGTTTAAGTTTGAGTATAAACTCTTATTAGTAACATACATTGGTGTTAGAGTTGGATGATACTATTGGGAGGTGCGTAATCTTGAATATAAACTCCTAATAGTAACATATATGGATGTAAGGATTAGATCTCACTATTGGGAGGTGTCACTTATTTAAAAAAAACTCATAGACTTCTTATCCTACATTACATCAGTGTTAAGACATTCTATAAATGTGTTGTTTGCTTTCAAAATCGCCTTCATTTCACATCTGTATCGTTCACGAGGATAAAAGTAGGAGTTATAATTGCGACTGAATTTAGATTGATACACAAAAATTGATTGATGATGATATATGTAGTAAAGTATTTTATTGAAGATCAGTGAGAGTAAATGGTTGAAATAGATCTTTAAATAAACGTATGTAACATTGTTTTTTCTCATAGCTATGTATGGTTATCATGATAGAATTTTAATTCCGAAATAACGTTAGAACCGTCACTATTGGATATTATCATGTCACTATTGGCAACAGTGACGAATTGTTCTTATTGAGCAAATTTACACGTTAGAAACTAAAGGTTCTGGAATTTTACGTCACTCATAAGAGATGACACTCTTTGGAGGTTTAGCTTTGTGCTTATATACATGGGAAATAAATGTCAGATTTTAGCACGATGGGTGTTAGTGCTGACAAAGACATACCAGATTTTCCTTTAGACGCTTCTTCCGCTTTAAAATTAGAGGAAGTTGTATGAAACAATTCAGTTGACAATAGTGAATTAAGATTCTATGTAATAATTCACTACAGATTGTGACTTCAAATGTAGAATTGAAGGAATATGCTGTTTCACTGAGACGCATTCTCATAAAACTAAAACCGTTCATAGTGTTAAAAGTAAATTTTGGATCATCAAATACAATATTTACAAAGAACTTGTATGAAGTTCATATTGGCAGATTTTTTCCTGGAATCGGCATAAATCCGAATGAAATTACACTTTCTAAGGAAAGCTGCTAACTAAAATATTTCATGTGAATATCTAAAGCACTTTGGGAGAAATAAAAGTATGAGATTTTAAATTTTTAGATTCATGTTAACAAATGGATTTTGTAAAATTTCTCCATGTATTAAATAGTCCTCACCAAGTTCATTCTTCAAAGAATATATCAGGATCAGAGGAACTTTACATGATCACAAGATTTACTTTTATTCACTTCGATACAGTGGCACCAATCATCGATCATAACAGGGTATCGCAACATCGTTCTACAGCGCTTCAAGCACCTTTTCCAGCAATGCCCACTCCAGAAGCATCATTTACACGACTTAACATGCCATTTCCTCATATGCTACATCATGATGCAAAACTTTCTTAAATGTGTTCACGTTCACAAATTGTGGTCTTTCGTTCTGCACCGAGTGCTGGAAAATTCCAGCTCCAAGCAATCGTGGAAGCGGAAAATCTCATGTTCGTTAACATTCGAAGATCTAGCCTCATGCTCGACCTTTGAAGAACTTTGTCCATAGGCAGGTGAGGTGATTCCGATAGAGTTGAACATCTAGTGGGTATTCAGGGACTTTCAACGCAGACTCTGAGAGGCGTATGTGAATCCTAGGGATCTGGATGACTCAAGTTTTCATTGAAGCACTCCTTGCAGTGTACCTTAAAGTTTAATACAAACACAGAACGTCCTGAAAACCCAGTGCACAAAATTCTAGAATGTCTATTTAAATTTCAAGACGTGATCCCATGTTTGGAAGCAGCGAAGCTGCCTTGACCAAACACTCGTAAAGAACTGAAATATTTGTTGAAAAGACCTAATGATTCTTTAACCACTTTATTTGAAACAAACAAACTAAGGGCACGACGTGAATCTATAGTAGCTTTCTGCTACACATTGACCCATCAATCTGAAACAATCGAATTCCTCAATTCTCACAGGCCTAAAGCACTGGATCAATGGTGCCTCAGGGTGGTTAAAACTCTATTCACGAAATCAGACAGGTTTAAGTGTAGATGATTATGGGGCAAGCTTTTTTTCTTAGCGACGCCATGTCTAAAACCTCGCTTACGGAAAGGATTTGAAGATACCAACAACACGAGGTGATGGAAGACTCTATTCAGGAGCAGAGGAGTATGTAATCAAAATCCGTAGTACTTAGATCTCACAATTCTTTTACAATTGGGGACCAAGCCTTCTTCACTTCTCTGGCCAAAGCAGCTGGTGAATTTGAACACCCAGAGGACCAAGCATCTCATGGTAGTTGACATCCGAGACACAAGCTTTAGCTCGAAATCCCTGCAATATACACTGACTTGTCCGAAACACTGAGATGTTAAACAACCGACAATGCATGTTGCCTGAACCACCGCAAAGCATATGGAACTTGGGGCACATAAACCTGAACAACAACAGAGCGCTTGGATTCCTATAAATGAGTAGGGGGAGGATTCGGAATTCCAGGGAACTCGACATGTATTTCAGATATTAAGACACGTGCTTGTTCTTGAAGTGTCAGTATGTAAGCAACAGAAGAATTGGGAGACGAAGAGGACTTTACATTCCATGCTTTTAGAATTTATAAAATCCCGTGTGCTTAAAGCACCCTATCCATGCACACAGGCCGCTCTAGAGACAGATGCAAGCGCTTGAAGTCCATATTCAGAACCAGCAGAATGGCTCAAAAGACACATGAAACTTGAGCACTTTCTCAGATGCTCTTCCTTGTGCGCGAACCGCTGTATTTAATAATGGGAACTTGAAACTCATCGGAGCTCACCATCATTGTAAACGTCTAATGAGGCTTAAGCCAACAGAACGTAATTGTAAATTCCAGGCAACTACCGGGGTTTCATACACATAATACCAAAAAATATAAGTAACAAGTGAATTGAAGTAAGTTCTTTAGAGGCATGTCAACATCTAGTGAGGAAAAAGTTACGAAGTTGTGAGTTTGAAACGGAGTGAAACATTTCACCACTCTCGTGCTGGCAGACCCATGTAAGAGAACATATCGCCCTTCAAGCAGTTGGAGAGATAAAAAATTGGAAAAACGCTGGAGGAAATCGAATCAGAGCACAACAATCAAAGTCGTCTCTGACGCTTATTCTCCAGAGTGAGTTGGTTTTGTTCTGAGAAGGTAGGATGGACTTCCTAACATTTCCTAAGCTGACAAAGACTCCTTGTGCTGGAAATCTGGGTGAAACCAATAACGTTGCAAGCCAAGTTCATCAATATCAATGCGAATATCTGAACTGATAACTTCGTAGTGTACTTCTTTTCTCCACAAGAACAGTCGAACACTCTCAAAAATTATTATTTTAAAAAAATGTAAGTACTCAAATGGACTCTCTTGTAACCGTCAAACCGCCATTTATAAACGTTTAACATACGAATACCAATCAAAAAATAGCTATTGATGTTGCTCAAGTCCTTGACTGATTTTGACACAGATGGAGTTAATCGAATTCTCTGACTTCTCAAACTACAACCCTCTTCTTTCTTCAAGTTCAGACGATACATCTCCACTGCAAAACGGAAGCCTAGCTGAGATGCATGCGCCTTAAAAATACACGTGACATCATAAATAGAAAAAATTCTTATCACTGCAAAATAAAATCAGTAAGTGATCACATAGTTTCAGAGCGGCCACACGAAACGGAAACAATGTGTATTTATTTACAGCTTCATAAAAGATCAGGGAACAATTTATATAGAACCGACCTACCAAATTCCAGAAGTGGGTTCCACCTCCAAGTAAGTGTAATTTTTAAACTTAGTGAAGAGTAAGTGACCTTAGAAGCGGGAGTACTGGCTTTTAGCCAGTAATCAAGATGGCACCAGGTGGTGTCTTCTCCCCATGGAGTGTCTGGCTCATAAATGTATCCAAACCTCATAGCCAAGGCATTTCGGCAACGTCCATTCTGAGATAGCATGCCCCCTGCAATCTCGTCCACAATATGTTGCAGACATTTCTGACATCCAACGCCTGGAACTCCCTCTGCTCCAAGCGGTACGTCGCAAATGAATTTGCTGCCAACCTGCAGACTCTTGGTGGAATTATAAAGATACTGGGGGACTCCAAAGACCTCGTAATTTGGACCAGAGACATTCTGCAGCAGGTTATTGAGAAGATCGTGTGCTTCCAAGTTCTCACCAAAGGTCGCATCCAAGCAGCAAATGCTATCTTGCAAAGGCCTCATCTCGCAACTTGACTCAAGCTCGCTGGAAGCAAGTCTTGGTGCCTGTGAAGAGCTTGAAGTTTCCTCCAGAAATCCTGCTGTCTCAGCGTTTGTGCATATCGCAAAGAACAGCACAAGCAAAACTATGCATTTAAAAAATGCACGTTCCTGAAGCCACGACATTCTCTGGCCTCCCTTTGCCACTCCTGCAGTTTGCAATCAAATTTGCAAGACACCTTACCACCAATGTACAATGTCTACCCTTCTGTTGGACAAACGGAGCAACTTGTCTTGAGAACTTCAAAATTGCGTGTTCTGTGACTGCAGGGTAATATTGGATGATCCTGTTAATCCTTGAGTTCGATTGAATGTTCTATTCACACAAACGTTCGATTAGATGTTGTAGACTAGCTGGAAAACTCACTTTCACACACTAAATCAGGAATCAAGTCGCACACCTATCTACACACCTACATCTAAAGCTAAGTCACAGAATTGAGTACAATGCAGAGACCAACACAAAACAACAGTTTATCAACAAACGGACTCGTTTGAGAAATGTCCCTGATCAATAACCATATATATGCTTCCCAACACAGGCCATGAAGGTTGAATCTGGAAGAGAATATTGTCACTCTACCTGAGCCAGCGACCCCGGACCTGTTGACGATCCTATCACGAGACACACCGCGCAAACTGGAAGAGACACCTCTCTAACAGGAGTCAAGGATCAGGTATCTCACGCACTGTTACAACCACACCACAGCAGGTATGAGTCTTTGGGCAACACCTCAGAAGTTCTGTGTTATAACAATAAAAATCTGTGACTCAACAACATCTTACTCAACCTAATCTGTAGCTACACGGCCCTACATTGCTACATTTTTTACCTTACAAAAGTCAACTACGACTGAAAGAATATATAAGTTTCCTTAGAAGATGGGAAACGTACGCGAGATACCCTGAAACATGTGATCTGTCATCAGAACTTGGGGGAAAAAAGCTCTAGGACAGCCTCATGGCCCGAACTCTTTGCGATTGAAGATACAAAAGCAACAGATACGTGCGACGTGCCCGGCTCAGGATGTGCACGGTCTCCCATGATCTCAGTACATGCCTCGATCCGAGCTTGAATCGATGCCACTACCTCGGTAAAAAGCACCATATCCACATGCTCCAGTGCTGAGATCTCCGGATGCGTATCTTCAGGATGCTGAAGCCTCTCACTATCTTGAGATCCTCCATCACCTGATATGAAAATTCAGACCTCATCCCATCATGGAACGGAGCTAGCGCTTACTCCGTGGGGGAAAAAACAAACGAACCTCGTCTTCCGGCTCCAAAAATTCCACCCAAACTCTGAAAGTCGCCCCACATCCTCACTTCCTCAAGTCGTCCATCGAAAACGGATCCAAAGTTCCAAGGTGAGCTCCAAACTCCTGTCCGAGATCGCATCAGCATCTGCGCCTCCGACGAAGCAACGGGGTTGAACGGGGTCACAGAATTGTCTTTCGCTCGTTTGTTGCTGTCTGGGCACAACGCACGACACATTTCTCGTGAGCTGAGGGAGCGGTGGCCGCGGGGCGCGTGGGAAGCTTGAAATTGTAGCGCACGAATTGGCATCGTGCCGCGGACGTGCTGCGCAGGAAGAAATCTCGTGCTGCATCGAATGACCCGGACATTCCAGGTCTGCCTATTTTCAGACTAGGTCAGACTGCTCCACTTGTCATGGTACTGTATTTGGATTCCTCCCACGCAGTCTTGGACTGTGTCGAAGTAGCAGAACTACGACACAGTCTCCGGTCGGAGGTTACTGCGTTGAGTTTCCAACTTAAGAGGACAGAAAATTGGCCTCAAATTGCCGCTAAGCTTGGCCCTAGGGTAACGCCTGTACACGGCTCGACTATGAGCATGCTTTTAGTGGATTCACGAGATACAAAACCTTAATGATTTTACAATGTTTATCACCATCCTCTCACACAAGAGTTCACAATAAAACTTTCAAGTGTATAAGTACAATCGATGCATCACCATATCATAGAAAAGACGAGAATGTGATTTGTATGCTCGAATGTTCCATGTTACTACACTAGCTACTTAATATCATGGTTGCAATTTGAAAGTTTCAACTTCAAATATTAGTTCTTCGTTCACACCCTAATTCAAACTCTATCTACTTACTTCTAGGCTTATTAATCTTGATATGAACTTTTGCGGCATATTCAATGCAAATGATGCTGATTGCACTATCACATCTAATTGTTGTGTATGTACATGCTCATTTATCTAACTAAACCGATATGGGTAGTTGTGATATTTATACATCAAATTTGTCAATACATCAATGATCAATGATGTTTGATTGATCTCATGAAGTCTTTTTTTATTCCATATAATGCTTTGACTTTTTATATTGATCAAACATATATATTAAGTGGAATATGTCATCATCATATATCAATTTGATTAAATAAAACATATTAGAATATTTGAACAAGTTTGAAAATATTAGCAATTGATAAAGTCTATGTTATTTATTTTATGTAATTGTGATAATAGAAAATAAAAAATCAACACATTTTTTCAATTTTGGTAGTGTTTATACAGTCTCTTCTCTTTGCATTTTTTTCAATCAGTAACAATCTAAGTAGAAAATATTCATTTATATGTTGACTACATTTGAATTGTGATTATAAATATTTTTTCAAAGAAATATTCTTATTTTATAATTCATAACAAAATATTCCATAATTCTAATTATTTCAATTGTTGGATCTTAAGTTCTTGAGCAAGATCATAGCTGAATGTTGACAATTTTTGTCTATATACTTAAACATCAAAACTAATTTAAATTCTTAAAGTCATTATGTAATATTATTTTTATACATTACGAAAATTCTTCTGATATTCAAAAAATTCATATGTTAACAAATCTTACATTTTAAGTAGCTCACATCCAACTTTTGAATTTATTACATATTTGCAAATTATAATAATCTTCAATTAATTAAACCTAAAGTAGATTACTTTGAAGATGAAGTTGACCTTTAATTGATTACTTATAATTAACACATCAACAATATGTGTCTTTGTGAATCAATAAATTGAATTTTTTAATTGAAAGCAACGTAGAAGCAATTTATGTGATTGTTATATAAATATCAAATGTGTTGGTTGAAAACTACTTGAAGATAATGTGTATACTTCTTAGATAAAAATAAAGTGTGTTAGTAGAGAAGTACAAGTTCTCCACCATGTCATGGATATATGATATATGAACTGGATGATGAATGATATCTACATTTTTTACACCTTGGGAGATATATTAAGAGAAAAAAACACCAATCTAAGTATTTTCATTTCTAAAATTTGTATATCATCTTTGAATGAGAAAAAATTTTATTTCCTAATATGAATTTAAATTAAAAAATGAAACTTTTGTCTTATTTGAACATAACTTGTGTGTTTTTTATAACACAAAAACATTTATCGTAATAAAAAAAATTTAAAAATCCATGACAACTATTGTCTATCAACCTTGATAGCTAATCATGAAAAATTAAAAATATGCTAGATATTCAAAAAATGAAATCAACCAAAAAATCAGCCAAAATTCTACCCAATGCAGCTTTGATTATTTTGAACTTTAAACACATGTAAAATGAGCATGTTGAATATTTAAAAAAAGGTTTACTTAATTGAAATAAGAGTAAAAAATAATTTAAATGAATTATGTATAGTTTTCATATAAATAATTCATGTATTTGATGAAAATATATTTGAGTTTCATAATTGAGATTGAATAATCAATCATTACTATGTTTGTTGTGAATATTTAAGAAATCATCAATTTACAAGCAATGAGATGAAAAATAAGATTAATTGTATAGCTGCTTATTGTTTTGATATATATATGGATGGTAAATAGATTAATTCCGTGGGATCCAAAGGGTTAAAAGTCTGAAAAACAAATAGCAAGCCTTCTCATGGTGAGATATATATATATATATATATATATATTTGCGTCTTTCAAAAGATTTGAGTATCATTTTTTAAATGGCTTATTTTTTCTTGCATATATTAAATAGGTGTTCTTTAAAATGAAAATGCATCAATAAAATGTTTTTATGTAAATTTATTTATTGATATTGGTGATATAGAACACTATTAAATCTAGGAATATGTTTCATATGAATTAAGTTATTTATGATATAAATTTTAAGTATCATTCTCAAAAAACAAACATTGTTAATCAATGAAGTTTATAGTCTGTGCATTTGAATTTTCATAAATATTGGTTTAGATAGATGATTTAACAAAAATTTAAAAGAATTTAATTGTCAAATTGTGAATATTAAATATATTTTTAAATCATGTTCAACTATTAAAAAATTATCATAGATTTATATAAAGAAAATTCATTAAGTAAAATATTTCTTAATTTTGAAATTTAGAAAAATCTGGCCTTTTCTTCATTTACAGTTTTTGCAATTTTCAATAAATGTCATTATTTGCAATAGTGATTTTTTTCGTTTTATCAAGAAATTATATTATTTTCTTCAATTATAATTTAGACAATAAACTTGTGGACAACATTCAATAGCATGCATTGAGTTATATAGATTTCATTTGAATTTCATGATCATTAATTTCTTTGATACAAAAAAGATTCACTTGAAAAATTATCTTCAAGTACTATATAACTAGAATCTTTACTTAGCCTTTTGAAAGCAAAGTATTATATGTACATGCTAGAAATATTTTTTAAATAAGAAGGAAAAAAATAGTAAAAGTATGAATTGAATAAATATTCTAGCAAATGAAAAATAAATATCAAAATTTTTACATAAAATAATGAAAAAAAATAATCTCTGAAGATGAACCTTATTTGATTGATATAGGTAGTTGAGTAGTTATTTTGCACTATAAATTGCAACCAATGCAAAAATACTAATCTTTACATCAAAAATGTGAAAAAACATTCTTGATATTGAGATGTTTTTTTTAAATGAAGTGAAGGACTGTGTGTGTATATATATATATATATATATATATATATATACATTTATTTCTATATACATACATGCGAAACATATGGATTTGCTACGACTGACTAAACATATTTTTAAATTAGTTGTGCACATGTTAGTATAATAAACATCAATTTAAATCAACCTTATGTCAAAACACAATACAACTTATGCAATACATTTAAGGTATGAATAAAAAATAATTTACGTTTGAAATGCATAAGATACTTTATATGATTTTTCTTTCACAGGGTCAATACACATACATAAGTATATACAGCTTTATATATATATATATATATATATATATGAGATAAATATATTAAGCCTGTGAAAGCCAAAGGGTTATCAATATAAGTCAAAAATTCATTGACCACAAAGATATCATAAAGATCAATCCTTACGTAGTGTCAAAAGCACAAAAACGATAACTAATGACGTACCTAATATTACAACAAATCAAAAAGCACTAGCTGGAATTAAAAATATAAAACTTTCCACATCTATATTATGAGCAAGTCTAATCTATTCATAACAATGACAATTTCAAGCCTATGAAATTCAATTCTGTGCCTAACATTAATTTGATGTAAGAACATAAAATTCTTTACAAGTAGGTAACCTTGTTCATAGTAAACAAACATATAATTAAGTTGATAAAATTGCATTTTGATCATTCATTTGTTTCAATTAATGTTAAGAAATTCTTGTTGTAGACGTTCACAAAGTGCCAACAGTTGCAAGTTCCAATCACGTTACGTCACATTTCACTTCAAAAACCAAGTGTGGCATGCTTAAAGTGAAAGACAAGAAATATCAAAAGATCTCACCCTTTGGATTTACTTGATGTTCAATTAAAGAGCTTCAGTCTTTTGAATTAAACAATATGTTTTTGCAAGGAGAATTTCATATGGAGTTTGATTTCTTATACTCAATTTTTTTTTGGCATCCTTTACACACGCTACAAGCATGTTTTCTTACAACCAGCGTCCTGCATTTAAAATTCATATAACAATCTTGGTAACACCAACTTTTACTCTCTCTTGCACGCAAAATGTGGAACTATGATCATTAGGGAAATTGATGTGTGAATATTTGTAAATAATGTTTTTTTAATTATAAATCTTTGTAAAATTAAAAATTTTGGATCTAGTATTCACTATCATGACTTTAGACTTTTTCATATTAACGTCAATCTTATTTTGGGTACAAAACCTTGTCAAAATGTTTATGTGTTTTTGTAAACTAATGACATCACGTGCTAGTAATATGATATCATCTTCATCATTATCATATCCATTTAGTATAGGTTTGAGTATAAATTTTTTAAACTTGACACCTGATCCAAACAACTATTCAACACCATCTATGAAAACTCTAAATAGATTACAAGAGAAAGTACAACCTTGAAAGACTCCGATGATATTCAAGATCTCTTGAGTTTGAAAACTATTGATCTTGGTTCAAACAAAATGGTATAACATGGTCACAACTGCTAGTGGATATGAAATTATTCTAATTGTTTGTAATTTTTTTCATAAAAACTAATGAGATACAATGTCAAAAGTTTTCTTGAAATTGATGAAGCCACCAAAAAAATGTTCTTCATTGAACTTAGTTTTATCCTCA